CATCACTATTAAAATATTTAAAAAATATTTAAAAGTTTAAGACTTTTGAAGTAAAATATAAAAATGTTAGGCTGCTTCTTAATTTATCCCGATGTTGGGAGATGTCTTGAGGTTGTATTGGCTTGTAGTTGGATTATTCCTGTGCGTTGTGTGTTGTGTACACATCTCCCAACATCGGGATAAATTAAGAAGCAGCCTAACATTTTTATATTTTACTTCAAAAGTCTTAAACTTTTAAATATTTTAATAGTGATGTTTTAACGCGAGGGCAACTTCGGATGGAATGCGAAGGTTGAACGTGCATTCAGTACTCCAAGCTAGTGTTGTGCTTTTACACATCGACATTTGTAGCAGTGCCCACACAGCATATATACTGTGTACAGTTAAACAACGCCAGTGTTTTCTTGTTAGTACCATGTGCCTCTGAAGATGGTTTTACTAAAACCGAAACATGTAAGGCAAGAGTGAGAAAGAAGTGACCTAAAAAATATTGTTACACTTGACGGACTTTGTATTGATTTTATTTTCCCAACTACTTACCATTCGCCAGGAAACAAAATAATTTCTGACATTTCATACAATATATATCACATCAGACACATAGTTCTGTACAGAAGAGGACAATCAAGCGTGACAACATAAGGTACATCTCCCTTATCACTGAACAGTGTGAATACTTACCAGCAAAGAGGTCCTCAAATATGTGTAATAAAAATAGAGATGAATTTATTTTGAAATTATGATCTGATTACAATGATTAATATAACTGGAAGCAAACAATGGACAGTCTGCTGCACTTCAATTTATTCACATTATCTAATGTAAACCCAACAACAAATTTCAGTGCTTTGAATTTACTATAAAGCCTTATACTTATATGTGAACTGGCCCATATTTCATCAAGATTCTTCAGCATACCGGAAAGTACATTTATTTTTCACGATTTATCTTACATGTTATTTCTTTGTATATACAGTGAGACTTGCATGTAGTTTATCTGTATAGAACATTCTGATCCCTCCAAAGTGGGAATTTACCATATGCATGCAGGTAACTGTATTTTCTACCACTGCAGTTGGAGTGCTAAACATTTCCACTCCTCAGAAATGAGATGATACAACCTTTCACTTGGCTCACAGTGCATAGGTATGTTGTGAGATTTCTAAGATACTTCACCAATTTGAGTCCTCTCACTTTCAGTTCACTGCCACTTTTACCTAGGAGAATATACTATTGTAAGGGAACAACATTAACAGTTGCTACAATAAACTTACAACAAAAAGCAAAAGTAGCAGGGTGACAAAAGTTGTAAACAATAAAAGTAGACTTGAGGTTTTCACGGCAGTGATTATGAAGAAAGCAGTCTTCTGCTTGCACTGGTTCTCACTGTCTCTTCGCTTGCAGATTTTTTTATTTTTCCTTCTACCCTGAAGATGGAGGTGATACGTTCCTCCAAAATGTCGGTTAACACCACATCTACATGGTGTCACATCCCAGAAGACTGCTTTCTTCAATAAAAGTAGATGATTATAACTGGAAGCATTCTGTAAGGGGAATACAGTAATTATTTTGTCTGAAGCCATACAAAAGAAGCAGGTAAAGACAGTAAGCAACACACTAAAGGAGTTCCACTATAACTGTTACTTTCACATATAATTCATCATTGTTAATATGATGTCATTTTTCATGAAAACAAATATACTGCCCAAGGGGAATACAGTAATTATTTTGTCTGAAGCCATACAAAAGAAGCAGGTAAAGACAGTAAGCAACACACTAAAGGAGTTCCACTATAACTGTTACTTTCACATATAATTCATCATTGTTAATATGATGTCATTTTTCATGAAAACAAATATACTGCCCAGTGGTAGAAGGTTCAGCCATTCTGTTACTGTTCCCTATCATGTATGAATGTAACGCATTATGTGTTATAGGCCAATATAGACAGATGACACATTCTTCCTCATAATTATCAACTCTGGAAGAGAGGTGGAAGGAAATAACCATACAAAACAAAATGTTTAATTTCATGCAGTTTCCATGATATAGACAGTTTTTTAGGCAAAATAACATCGATCCTTCTACAAAGATACCAAGATGGTGAAACACAGGTGGGATGGCAAACAGTCAAAGAATATTACAATCATTCCAATTTAAATTAATTGCATTGTGCTCACTTTCAATGAAGTATCTTATCTTTTACTTAAAACACAATTCCCTTATAGGAACTGATATTAGCTGCACCACAAATTTTTAAAAATTCATGTGAACAAATACTGCAGTATGCTTTCTTTGTAGTTCAATAATTATGTGCAGGTCCATGGGTTGAATTCCATTTAAGACAGTTTTCAAACAGTCAACAAGTAGCAAATAGTAGTAGTTAATTGACATGAATATGATCTGTTCCATTATGCAGCTAGGTATCAATCTAGCACCTTTCCCACACACATAAAATACAAGATTCTTAGGGAGGTATGAATCCTTAACCTCTACCTAACCCACCACTTAAAAAAAATATGATCACATTACATTTTCTTGAATATTCCACATTTTTTACTTAAACAAAAATTGGGGCTGGCAGCTTATTTGTAATGAGGTTCACAACACTACTTATTACAATTGTCATCTTAATTCTCACAGTTTCCTCTGCCAAACATGACTATCAAAGGCATACATTTAAAGACCTTCAGTTGGTGAGAAACTAAAAATAATTCATGAGGAGGAAGAAGATAGAATCAGACCGCTGGTATAAAACATTACATTAGTCAAAGAATAATAATAATAATAATATACATACTGGCTGCTGCAAAGCAACGGTGGGCAAAATGTCTGTGAAGAGAGACACAGATGAGATGTGAATGTCTGACATTTTCATGTTACAGGTTTTCAGATCCTGGAAAGTAGTAGTAGTATGTAGTGGTCATAAATAAACACTGCATTTGAATTTCAACTGCGTTATTACGTACATCCATACTCAACATGTATACTTTAATAAACATTTTAATTTTTTACTGCTTAAGAAATTGGATATGTAGCTCATCAGTGGTATGATATATTCAACAAAATACATCTTATAATAATTTAAACTTAGTGGAAAAGTGCTGTCCAAGCAGGATTCAAACCTGTGAAAACCAATACACCTACAAGAGTGTTTTACTCATGTTGTGTGTTATACTTTACGTGAATGCATGTGCTTATGTAGTAAACTGCAGGACATCTGACAGATCTGACATCAGCAGGGAGGTGCTCTGGAAATAACACCTGACCAATAGATGGCTGCATGTGCATGGTGGACACCAAAGACACAATCGGTTACATGTGTTCAAAGGATGTTCACAATGATTTATGGTGAAATCTGCCCTTCTCACAAAAACATTCTCTGTGATGGATGGAACAGCTCTAAGCAAGTGGCAGCATATAGTGGAACTAGCCCCTGCTCATCCCCAATTAATTTAAGTATGTTAGATATAATAATCTCCAGCCTTGTCATTAATTGATGTGATAATTATGTCATACTGTGCATAGCCCATGGGTGATTTAAGTCCATATGGCTATTCCTTGGGTAAGACAGCTGGGTGAAGGTTTCGTCGCTACAAAAATCCAGAACCCCACCATGCTGGGGTCAAAGTTAATTAAAATTATCACGTGATTTCTTGGAATCAAAACATAAGGGTTATGTGCCATCTGAAAGGTTATAAGAAGAGTGTTTGAGAGGCGTTGATATAGAGTGGACACAAGACGGTCTTCTGTAGAGCTAGACCATAAATAACAAAGCATTGGGATGAATATCATAATTCCAATACTATGTAATCAATAATCATTATATTGCAGTCTGAGTGTCAGTAATCATAAAAAAGGGACATTGTGTACAGGGAATTGGATGGGTGGAAGACAAATGGAAAGAACCTGGACTGCCATCGATGTTGCCATGTTAAGTTTAAGCAATAAGGCAGAATTTCGTTTGGAGCCCAAGAATATCAGCACAAAGAGAAATTTGAAAGCTACACATCCCATATCTTCAGTGCAGACCCTACATGGTCTCAAACATCTCTGAATTTAATCCTATGCACTTCCAGTCTGCAGGTAAGTAAACGGCAAGGTGTGCCGCATAAAGGTCATTTCCACACAAGACTTGCAGGATCGCACAATCTATGCCGTGGAAGGAACCCCAACACAGATGTATAACAATTTCCAACCTACAGAATACACAAGAAACACAGCATAAACAACAAGGGAGGCCAAGTTTACGTTTTTATTAAGATAAAAAACTTTAAAGTTTGTCTCTCATATGGTGAGAATATACTCTTCCAGTCTCCACTGACTTCCACAATACATTTTTTAAAATGTGGTCATTGTGTATGAACTGTGTTCACAGCTGTGAGCTAAAATAAGATAAGAAGCTAAACACAGTGTAATATAATCTTGATACTGCAGTGCTTAAAGAAAAAAAAAAAAAAGCACACTATGTTCTAAAGTGCTCCGACCGACAGCCCATTACCTCTCTCTTCTTGTTCCAGTCTGTTCACAGAATAATTTAATGTTGCTAATTTGTCCAAAATAAGCTTATTAAGAATATTATCTTCTGGGTTACAACGCTGTGTAGTATGCTGAAAGNTAAGATACGACGTAGCGATCGGGAACCCTGGACAGTTTTAATATTTTTACGATTGACATTTGTCAATATATATGATGGACATATATTTTAGTTATTTTAAAGTGAAGACAAGGCATACAATGTACTAGTTTGACGTGAATTGAGTAGCACCTGAAGATGGCATTCTTATGCCGAAACATGTAGTGAAAGTGAAAGAAGAAGATAGATAAGTGTATGCACTGCAAGACGGAATAAACAAATCATGAATGTTGAGAATCAATGATGTTTCGTAGGAACATATCGCCTCCATCTTCAGGGTCAAAGAATAAGCCAAGCAAGATACCAAGTGCCAAGTAGAGCCCTGCAATATGTTCCTCCAAAATGTCGACTGACTTATAATGGACTACACGGTGTTATATCCCAGAAGATAGGACTCTTCGTAACCACTGCTGTGAGAACTTCAAATCCTATACAGTAAGCTCATTATTTGACAGAAATGAACAAAACTCATTATAACAAATACCTGTTTCTTCTTCATCAAAGGAACTCACTAGCTCTACCTACAATCAGTAATTTTTCAGCCATGGAATCTTGTGTTTGGTACAGGTGAACTTCCATAACTGTAGGATGTCTTTTTTACTTGATAATTCACCCTCAAGAATTGTTCGGAAGCAACATCAGTCATATGGTAATGCTGCAACTTCGTGTCGAAACATAAAGAACTACTGCAGAAATATTACAATGGAAAGGTGGTATATAAAATTCTACTGCTGATCTAGACTGAATATGTCAACTCAACACGTCTGTATTACACAACTTACTACATTACTGTAGATGAAAGTCATCTCTTCACTGAAGTTAAAAATAAATAACTTGCATACTGAACCACTGGCAGCAGATTTTTATAACATTTATGTGATACAAGGCAACTAACAAAACATTAAAGAACAGAAAACAAGAACTGTCTTTTAAAATGTTGAATGTCTATAAACATTAACATCCCATTCTTTGTTAAAGATGTTAGTCTTAATTACTTAGGTATGTATGTTACATACCTAAATCTCCAATCATACAAAACAATGTAAACCCTCTGGTAGAAGACTGAACAGTTTCTGTAAAGGTCCCATCCATCAAAATGAAGTGAGAAATTCTATGAGTTATCCCAGCGGCTCTTCTTGGTTCTTCGTTCCGTCCTTACTGTACTGGTTGGTGGTGGTAATGGTGGTTGAGGTTCAGGTTCGGGTTCAGGTTCAGGCTGAGGTTGTTCTCGTGTCTGCTCCCAGGTGTGGTCAGAGGATGCTGTGAACTGAGGGAACCACACCATTCAACACATGAACAATTCAACATAGCATTCAAATTGCACTCAAATGTCACTTTCACAACCTTCAGTGACTCAAATCTCACAAAATGATGGGATGGCATGCAACAATAATATACTGTCACATATGAGGGGTTTGCGTGATGAAAAGTAACGGGTTCTGGATTGGATTTATTGGCACTCCTATTACAAATACAATCAGCTCACAATCAATCTCTGTCTGAAGACCTGCTGTATTCCTTAAAGGGCTGCAAGTGTCTTCCCTTCCACTGTGACAGATGACAAACGAAGAATCACTACTCCCTCTTTGAACTCCCTTATGAATTGAATTACGACTCTTTGATAACTCCGAGATGAACCAAATGGTTCATGTGTTACTCTGTGTTATGGGTTGCTCAGCAATGGACTATTCCTGCTTGTTCTCCTGGAAACGTGTGTTAGCGGGCCGTTGGCTAGCAATGGACTATTCCTGCTTTCTGGCGTCATGTCATAATACTGTATTATGGCGGTTAATACTTGGTATAATAAAAATAAAGGACTAAAAAATAAATAAAAATTATAATGAAAGACACAGTAGCTGCAGAGCTGCAGTACCATATCACATTTAACACATATACCATGCATATATCTATGTGTGTGTGTGTGTGTGTGTGTGTATACAGGTCATATTGGTTGTATGGGGAGAAAAGAATCCAGAAATCAGCACACAGGAAATTTACAGTCGACAAAATATACAATTATGTTCTTTGCTTCCAGATATAACTGCATATATATGATCTCACATGCAACATGGGGTGCACAAGACTATAGGCCCACAGTGGATCTACAGGAGGAAAGCCACCAGTTCCTGAGAAATACCACTTCCTTAACTAAGCAAGAAATCTCATACACCATTCTTCCAGGAAGAACTCAAATAAAACTACATTCCTAATTGGCCAGGACAGTTCAAGTATACAAACCTGACTCATTCATGCATAAAATAAGTTAGGTCTTTCTGTGCTTGTTTCCCCATTAGGACCCAATATTATTCCTTTCTACTTAAGTGCCTATGATGCACAAAACATGTATACGTGTAAATCTAATTTTGATTTGTGTAACTCCAATATAATTCCTATTTTATATGAAGGTCAGACCAAACATTATGAATTTTGTCTAGTGCCTCATCATACAAATCAGAGGTACAAGATACAAGTATAATGGTCTCCTTGAGATCTACAACTTTAATCTGATACATTTTTCAATATCTTGATTATTCAATTAAATACAAGGAGAAATAATTTCTACTTCTGTTCAGTGTGTTATATTTAGAACAATTACTTTTGCAGCAATAATCTGTTTCTGAAATGAAAGTGGCAAGCATAATACATCTGAAAAATATGCATATTCTGGTGAGTCTACTTTTACACTCATATTAAATCTTCACACACATTTTCAAAAACAAATAATGAAAAATGGGTCCAGACTAAAGACAAATATGATCAGTGCCATATCTGTAAATCGACATATTCTTTCATTCTTCTGTGCATACTAGTGCATACATTTCTTCTGTTACTTCTGTTAAGTGAAACATCAAACTTGGCAAATCAAATGTGCCTTATCACCAGCTCTTTGGCCCATATTACAAGACAATTTCAATAGACCTACAGCACTCAATAATATAATACTGTATTTACCACAGCTACTCATGTTTGTCTTGTAAACAGTGCTCTACTGAAGTGAGGCACTGGTAAAACCATTCAATTACAGGATTGTACAAAACAAAGAAGAGCATTTTTGAAACTACAAATGAAAAGCATTAAATTTGTTAATATAAAGATGTGGAGCTTTTTCAATGACCAATTTACAGTACATGGGCTGGGACATAAGTGGTCTTGGAGGGAATAAAAATGTTGTCATGCTTCCCAAAACCAAGAATGACTGTGTTGGCTAAGACCAGCAGCAAATTACTGCTCTTCCCTGACCATATGTTGTCCAGGGTCCTCACTGAACAAAAAAAAAGTCACTCACTTGTTCAAGGAAATCTGTGATTTAAGAACATAATCAAACCACAGGATTTCAGCCTTATCAAGTCCAATTCAGCTCATATCTTCGCAATCTCTTCCTCTAAGAACTGTTTTCATACAGGGTGTTTTAAAAAGAGCTTTACAACTTTGAAAGATTATATAAATTTATACAGAGGACATACACAATGTTTTGAACTGTCATAATGTAGCAAAACACACTGAGTTTCATGCATGTGGTACTGTAGTATCCAATACCGCGCTCCCGCAGTTGAAATCAAGATGGCTACTTTCACAGGTGCAGAGCGTGCTTGTTGTGTGTTTTGGTTCGAAGAAATGAAGTCTGCTACACAAGTTCAAAGGAAATTTCGCACTCAGTATCACAAGGAACCTCCCAGTAGGCCTACAATTTACTCCTGGCACAAGAATTTTGTTCAGACCGGATGTTCTGTGCGCCATGCCAAGCCACCCGGTCGGCCACGTGTTTCTGATGCTACAGTGGAACAGATTAGGGAGAGCTTCGTTCGAAGTCCACGAAAGTCAACGCGACGTGCATCTTGGGAAACTGGTATTCCAAATGTTACTGTGTGGCGAGTGTTATGAAAACGTTTACATTTAAAAACATACAGAATATCCATCGTTCAACACCTTACGGATGCAGATAAGGTGGTTTGTAAGGAATTCTGTATGCAAATGTTTCATCGGATACAAGACGATGACAAGTTTCTGGACTCCATAATTTTCAGTGATGAGAGCTCGTTTCATGTCAGTGGTAAGGTCAATACCCACAACTGCAGGATGTGGGGCAGCGATAATCCACGTGTCTCCCTGGAACATCTTTGTGATAGCCCAAAGGTAACATGTTTTGCGCCCTCAGCAAAGAGTGTACGGCCCCTTCATGGAGATGACCAATAGCAGTATCATATATCTGGACATGCTCCAAGAATTCCTCATTCCACAGTTAGATGAAGATGACCAAGAAGGATGCATTCCCTTCCAGCAAGACAACGCACCTCGTCATTACCTTGGAGAAGTGTTTCCCAGGTCGGTGGATTGGTAGAGCGGTGCTGATACAATGGCCACCTCGTTCCCTGGATCTTACTCCCCTGGATTGTTTCTTATGTGAACTCATTAAAGATCAAGTGTTCGTACCACCTTTGCCTGCAAATGTCATTGAGCCCCGAACTCGAATTACTGCCTCGGTTGCAGAAGTGATGCCAGAGATGCTACGTAGCGTGCGGCAAGAGACTGACTACAGGTGGGACATCTGCCGCATTACCAATGGAAGTCACACTGAACCATAACTCTCCGAGGTAAAACTCGGTGTGTTTTGCTACATTATGACAGTTCAAAACGTTGTGTATGTCCTCTGTGTAAGTTTATATAAGCTTTCAAAGTTGTAAAGCTCTTTTTGAAACACCTGTATTATTCAATTCAATTCTTTTATTTAAGTACTTGCCAACAGTGAGTGGCCTATAGCAGTTAGCATTCAAAGTGTACATAACAAAAGCTAGACTAAGGCTACAACTAAACCTAGTGCTAGAACTAGTCTAAAATTTAATCCCAGGTAATAAAATAAAATAATACAGATAACACCACAATGATGTAACTCAGTAGGATTAAGAAAGGAAAATGTATCCTCAAGGCAATGTTATGTTTACTGAAAATGTCCAGATATTTGCAGATGTTGTTTGCAGCCATGATGCACCTCACCGAAGGGGTAAGTCTTGAGACATTACTGGAAAAGTCTATAATTAGCTTAGTGGGTACACAGAGACCAATAGTATGCATAATAGAGCAACACTTAATTTGTTCTTGGAAACATTAACAAGAAATAAAGCTTCAAAATTTTGTAGCCTGTAATAAAGCATTTTAAAATTTAAATAATTCAAGACTGATTCATAATCAAAAACGGAGTTGGGCTGAATAAATCGATTATAACATAAATTTGCAAACTTTCTTAGTATGTTTTCCAGCTTATTAGAATGTGCTAAAGTACGGTTATGCAAGGCAAAAGACATGTAATCAAGCTCCGAACGAATTAAGGTAATATATAAAACTTCTAGACTAGCCAAAAAAAAATTATATGTGACGAAATGATTAAGCTCTAACAGCTCTAGCACCTGAGAACATATATAGACAACCGGACGATGAAAATTCAATTTTCTATTTAACATAACCACAAGAACTTTCACACAATGAGTTTGTATGATTAATAGATCACTAAAAAAGTAATTAAAATAGATAATGTTAGTATTATATGTAAAAAAAAAATCATGTTTGTTTTCAGTATGATAATTTTCAATGCACCACTTCTGTATAGAGTCTATACTGGAATGTAGTAACTTACAATCCTCAATAGATTTTGACATGAAATATTTTTAAATCATTAGCAATGAGCCTGTTGCTGTGGAAATGTGTTTACTGGCAACTTCCTAGTTAGTTTACTTTCTTGGGGTGGGATGAAACTTGAGTCCACTTGGTACATTGGCCACTAACTGGCCCATTGTACCAGCCCAAGAAGATTAAGTGATGATGAGCACAGAGAAGTCAGTGGAATAAGAAATGGGAGAGGAAACAGAAGTACTCAGAGAAAACCTACCCCAGTGCCACTTTGTCCACCAGAAATCCCACATGACCTGACCTGTGCTCAAACCCAGGTTGTCACTGTGGGAAGCCAGCGATTAACTGCCTGAGCTATAACCATTTCCTAGCAATGGATGTCTTTTCTGGGTCCACTATTATGGCTTTCAGCCATTATGTCACAATACGGTATTACAGTATCATCTGAAGCTCAAATGTTAACAGCACCCAGCAACATATTCCCAACTGTTTTGATAAAATATGGAATATTTGCTTCATTGTACAGTTCTCAACCATATGGAGGTTTCATGCTGCATACTGGATTCTTACCTGACTCATATACTGGCTTCTAAATGCTGCTTTCATTGCTGACAGCCTGTCTGTACCTGGACCGGTACGAACTGGCTTTGGTATGAGATCTGCTATGCTACTAGGAACCATCCCGCTGCCTGAATTAGTCTGACTGTCAGATGATCCCAGACCTGGCCTCTCTTTATAACCTAGGCCACGTCCCGATATGTTGACTTTCTTTCCTTTCCCACTTTTGAAACGAGATTTGCGGAACCATGTACTCTGCATGGCTAGATCTAGAAGGCTCTGGGAGACTTCTTGATTTGCACCTTCTAAGTTCCGCACCAGGTGCCCAGCAAATTCTTTATCTTTTTCAGTAACTAGTGTGTACGCAGTACCTTTCTCTCCGGCACGGCCTGTGAAATAAAAATCAAATTTAAAGTTTTAATCTTTAAATCCTCTTAGGTTCTTATTTATTTCAATCGTACATTGTTCTACTTAAAATTATTAGTGACACCAGGATAGTGCCAATGACCAGAAATTCTAAATGATAATGTGGTGCAGGACACAATCACACTTTAGGCAAATCCTGATTCAGTATTCCAGCAGTTAGTGAAATCCCATATTTAATAAATATTCTTTCTGGTCTCAGCTGAAGCTCACTGTACATACCTGTTAAAGGGTTAGCTTTACCTTCTTTTACCTTACTGAAATGTTTAATGACATTTTTCACCTGTATGTTGCATCACTGCAATAGCAAATACACCTAGCCCAGATGGCTGAGCAGTTTGTTTTTGAATAGTAATATCATTACCCATGAGTTAAAATATGACCCTCAACAGTACAATACTGGAAAGTTTAAAATCCCCCATTCCTTGATACTAAACTGTTATACCAAAGTTTTATTCCTGCCTTCACTCCCACAACTGGGAGAACTAAAAAGTACCTGTTCATTAAAAGTAACAGTTAAATAAAAACAATACCATTAAACCACAATCTGCATCATACACATAATGTTGCTTATGGTATGTACCTTTCAAATTCATGGTTTCATTAAATGTACCTGTTCTGCCAATCCGGTGTGTGTGTGTGTCAATATCTCTTGCCACATCGAAGTTCACCACTGTCTTAATATGTGGGAAGTCCAATCCACGAGCTGGTTAACAGAACATTACAGATCAATATATCAGAATTGTGCAAACAGATGGAACACTACGCTACAATGATGTTGCTGTAAAGAAGAGTAAAGTAAAGCTATCCCTGTAACGGGCTGCAAAGACCCATAGGGTTGTGAGGCGTTGAGGGTCCCACATTATCTAGACAATCGGCTCAAAGATGGCGGTAAGGTTGTCAGCCTTATGTGCTGGCCACGCTTTACTCCCCAGGAAAATTATTTAATTAATTCCTGGTACTCATTTCTGTTAGAGGCTGAGTCGACCCCAGGGCCATAGTGCGGCTGGAAGGATTAGGTCAATTGAAAAAAATCCAATGATCTCATTGGGACTTGAAACCCACGACCTTCCAGTTTGTAGCATAGTGCCTCAACCAACTATGCTAACACATGCCCCTTTGCTGTAATAAAGAATATGGAAAACTAAAACGTGACAGAGAAGTACTGGCATAGGGTAAATACACAAGTCACCATTTCCTACTTTAACAAACAGATTTGAGGTAAGTCTGGAAAAGCCAAGGTTCTCAATATGTTGCACAAAATATTATCTGAAATTATAAACTGTAACACTCTCCTTCTGCAACATGCAATATGCTTACTGTATAATGTAGCACAGTTTTGTTTGGAACATGAAGAAACAAAACAGTGATAAAGAGGAACAAGTTATATTCACATAGTCAGGCAAGAAAAAGAAAGAATTATGATTGTAACAGTTATCAACCTGGCCACCAATGTACAAACACGCACATGTTTAAAGACTGCAAAATGTTCTAATAACTGAATGTGAAGTTAATGTTTGTAGTGTGGCTCAAATTTATAAGTATCCTTGCCACCAAAAGACTTCCAAGCAACTTGCAGAACACAAACATAGTTTGCAAGGAACAAACAGGTTAGTATGCCATGCTGAACTTGAGATTCTGACAGCAATGGATATGAACAGTTCTATCTTCTGGGATAAAACACCATGCAGAGAGATAAAAGTCTTCACCAGACAACATGGAATTATATATCATGTTATCATCATTTTCTGTAAATGATCCCATGCATTGATAAATCATGAGAGAAAAAGCATATTCGATATTTCCAATACTTGCCTGCAACATCTGTGGCCACGAGGATGTCAACTTCTTTCTTTTTGAACTGTGTAATAACTTTGTTCCTATCCGTTTGATCCATGTCTCCGTGAAGAAGCAGTACGTCAAACTCTTTCAGTTTCAGGTTGTTAGCAAGTTCCTCGGCATTCGCCTTCCAACCAAATGGCAAAAAGGAGAACGCTTATTCATTGTTATGTCATCATATGTTGGAATAAGGTAAGTTGGAGACCAATAGCTATGGTATCAAGCATCTACCTGCAACATTGCAGGCAGACAATGTGGAAACAACACGCACAAGGAATAAATTGTGCTGTCAGATGAATAAAGCATTCCTGTACTTAAACCAATCTGTAAACCACTGCCTTAATCTCTTTCTCTCAAATTTTTCATTTCAAAATTGACTTAAGTAACGTTTTCTTTTAGTAAAATTAATTAACCTTCTGCAATCAGAATTCAAACATTCCACTCTATTACAGTAACTATGTTACAAATTTGAACACAAAAATGATTCTTATAAAATATGATTAACACTCATTTTCATTTGCCATCGAACATGAAGCCGACCAGTAATAAAAATGATTTCAAGTTTTCAACTTTTCATATTACTTCAGCTATAAGAATACCAAAAGAAAGTTTATTTCAGACTCTGATAGTCATTTTCTCAAAAACATTTATCCGTAATGAAGAAATGTATATAACATAAGACATCTATCTGAATGAGTAAAGTGTTCTTAAATTATCAAACTTCATCTGCCAGTAAAGTGCTTATCTTCACTGGCAAATCCGATGCAGGTTTGAATTTCAACAAACATTTTAATTATTATAAAACCAGTAAATATATTAAAAATTTTTGTGGTCTTCTGGAAGAGCTAGATTAATTCCCTTATGCTGATCACTCTGGCATCTTTCCAAAAATGGTCAAAACACAAAATGGGCAACTAACAAATGGAATGTTGTTACTATAGGATTCTGACGATGGTGTATAACACACTGATATGTTGGGATTTTGGACTTTATCCATCGTCCTGGTTTTTTAAGATAACAAATAAAAACACGACGTTTTGGAAACTGGATCTGTTTCCGTCCTCAGGTGAAGGAAAACACCTATTCAGTTGGGTCCCTTAGAAAGAGCTAGCCTCAATCACTGGACGATTGAGTGATTGAGGCTAGCTCTTTCTAAGGGACCCAATTGAATAGGTGTTTTCCTTCACCTGAGGACGGAAACAGATCCAGTTTCCAAAATGTCGTGTTTTTATTTGTTATCTTAAAAAACCAGGACGATGGATAAAGTCCAAAATCCCAACATATCAGTATATGGAATGTTGATATGACAGAATAGTAACAAAACCACAAAGCCATTTCCAACACAACAGGTAATGGGCAACACAATGTTGCAACATGTGTCCATCATGGGAGGAACAAATCCTTCGCACCCTGAAGGCTGGTACACATTATATTGCGCCTTCAAAATCTACTAGAGGAAATGTAAAATTGACACTTCTTTTTCCAAAATTTCTGAAATATGCTTTCCTTTATTCTGATAGTGTTACAGAAAACGACAATGTTCAATACTCTGAATCAAACTTTTTCATAATGATAATAGGGAATAAGTTTATATATAAATATAGCTAGATTATGAAAGAGAAACAAGGAACTTCTAATTTAGAAAGCTGTCATGACAATAAAAAAATATGCTAGAGCTGCAGCCTTTACAGCTTCCCCACAAGGGGTGAACATTCTGGGCCTAATAATATTACATTATGTTAAGTTTATATGGTAGGCCTAGTGCACATTTTATGAACAGCCCCAACCCATAATAGCCAGAAGTTATGTGCAACAGGGGGGTGGCACTTTTGTATACAATATCACAAAACAACCAACTAAGCACCTCTCGCATTGGTATGTGCCAGTCTCACATGCAACATGATTTAATAATACAAAATTACATCACTGTTTTTTCTGTTTGTAAGTAAAACTTGTGAAAATAGAAAAAGGAACATTCAGACTATAAATATGTCCAGATTGACATATGTAGGTGTGAAGAGGGAATATTTCAGCATTTGAAATACAGTCAAAGAAGTACGAGGTGTGTTCAGGAAATAACGGGAATTTTAAAATTTCGCGGGTTTGGAGAGTCCAATTGTCAAATTTTTTTTTTTATTATGTTGGTATACATGCCCCTGAAGTACAATAAAATTTTCAGCTGTATTCATTGCTTACTTTGTCTGTGGCAGCCGCTAAGGTTAGACGTGTTTTTATGAGCTTGGCGATTTTCGTTTGTTAAAAGAAATGGATCAAAGAATTTGTATCAAATTTTGCGTAAAAAATGAAATAAAGTGTTACAAAGTGTGTGAAATGTTAACAAAGGCCTATGGTGAGTCTGTTATGAGTAAAACAAGAGTTTACGAGTGGTATAAGCGTTTCCAAGATGGCCGTGAAGACGTTGCAGATGACGAGCGCCCCGGACGCCCCAGCACATCAACAACCGATGAAAACGTGGAAAAAGTGAAAGCAATGATTATGAATGATCGCCGAATCACAATCAGAGAAGTTTGCGTGAGGCAATCCGAAAAAAACGCCCGGATTTGTGGAAAAACAATTCATGGCTTTTGCACCACGATAATGCACCTGCTCACACTTCGTTGCTTGTTCGTGAATTCTTGGCCAAAAACAATACTGTAACGATGCCCCAGCCTCCATATTCGCCAGACATGGCTCCGTGTGACTTTTTCCTATTTCCAAAAATAAAGAGAACCTTAAAGGGCCGTCGTTTTACAAGCATAGATGACATTAAAAGCGCATCGCTGAAAGAGCTAAAGGCTATCCCAAAAATCGAGTTTGAGAAGTGTTTCGATGATTGGAAGAAGCGCTGGCGTAAGTGCATAATATCGAATGGGGACTATTTTGAAGGCGACAACATTAATGTAGACGAATGAATAAATATTTTTTCCAAAATACGGAAATTCCCGTCATTTTTTGAACACACCTCGTATGTCTGTCAACTATGGCACATCAAACATTAAACTGATAAAACACAAGACGCTGCATATGAGAACTGCAATCAGACCAGATCATAGCAATCCTTGTACTATATCAAATCAAAATTTTGTTGCCCTGCAAATGAAGTCTCTTCTAATAACAAACACGATTCCTCTTCCAAAGATGAGACTGGAAGAAAAGCAGTAGGCTGAATCTGCTGTACGTTTGTTTGCCCTGGTGTAGCATACTTCTCAAAAGTGTGCTTTCCAGTATCCATAAGTCTGAGTAAACATAATTATTTTGTGTTCACTGAACTAACAATCATCTTTAAAATATTTACTCAAATGAAGAATACATTAACTTCATTATGCTGTTGACTATAGGAAATGATGACCATGAAAACAATATCACCTTTACAACAAATATAAAATATGCAACACTGATTTCTAAAACATAACCATATACCACATCCTACATCTGAGACTTCAAACAATAGCATGAAAGTGTAAATACCACATGTACAATTAAATAATTAAACTTATTACATGAACAAAACTGTAAAAGTCATGAAATGGCTATCATGACATAGACTGTCTCCTTTAACTTCATTACAATTTTGTTCCAATTGTAATACATACACGTATAACAGAAAATCTAGAACAATGTAAAATTTAATTTAATGTTTTGCACCATACCTTCTTTGTAACAAATATAAGTACACTCCCTGATGACATAAACTGGACAATGTTATTCAAAAGCCAATTCCATTTAGCTCCTCCAACTGACAACATCTTGACAATCTGTGTCACATCTGTATTGGCTTCGCCAACATCTCCCTACAACATAAAGCAACATTATAAACATTGGTAACATTATTCATACACAGAACCCTTGATTATTCTGTGAGGATTAAATACAGAACCTCTAGAACACCTCAGTTATTGATTACACCTTCCCACAATTACCTAACTGCTGCCCGTTACACCTGTTTCAGTAATACATGTAAGTGAACTTTAATTGTTTCTTGCATCCTGTTGTGTATTTAATCAATATTGGAGTCAATTTTACTGACCACACAACATATTTTTATTATTATTACACTATATGTTTCGACCTCAAGAGGTCATCCTCAGGTGTACGAACACAGCTGTATAATTACACGCAATCACACTCGTCTTTTCACTTATTCCATCCTGTATCTTATTCATGCCCATGCTCAATAACATATCAAGCTCCTCTCACAAAACACAAGTTAAAATATTATTCTATATGTCAAAAGTTAAAATTTGTGAATCGAATTTCAATTCAGATCACTAGTTATGCTTTCACTTTCACTTGTTATTCAGTCACTTCCTACTTACGCTCATCACTGTGCCAAGTTCACTTTAACTAGTTTTAATTATATTATTGGTTAAAAGGTCATGAATTAAAGTTCAATTTTATTATATTGATTGCACTTTTCACTTTTTGGAGGTCTCGCTGTTCTTCCGCGTCCTCTGATGTTGCTGGGTCTGTTATGGTCCTTGTCGTGATGGCCATCATGACAAGGACGCAGTGATGAGTGTAAGAAGGAAGTGACTGAATAACAAGTGAAAGTGAAAGTGAAAGCATAACTAGTGATCTGAACTGAAATTCGATTCACAAATTTTAAATTTTAACTTGTGACATTTAGAATAATATTTTAACTTGTGTTTTGTGACAGGAGCTTGATATATTATTGAGCGTGGGCATGAATAAGATACAGGATCGAATAAGTGAAAAGACAAATGTGATTGCGTGTAATTATACAGCTGTGTTCGTACACCCGAGGATGACTACTTGAGGTTGAAACATGTAGTGTAATAATAATAAAAATATGTTGTGTGGTCAGTAAAATTGACTCTAACATGTAAGTGAAGTTTTAAAACAATTTTCAATAGACTGTACATCTTCTCCCTCCAACTTTGTAACTTTCTGTTCTATAATTACAATTTTACTCTTCCTCCTGTATGCCTATTACAACTGAACAGAAGTTTCTTTGTCCTTTTAGAAACGTATTTACCTCCCTGTTTAATGGCCAGTTTCAAGATCAGTAAATGCTAAGCCTCAGGTTCATCACATTCGCATTAATTTCACAAACAGTGCATTAGATACCAGTACTTGGATAGTCAGTTGTTATTAATCACCCGTGATTCTTCACCCCTCCATAACCATGGATAATCAACAATTCAATGTATAATGAACTGCATAAAGAGAGAGGAGCAACTCCATTAAATAAAGAAAAATATTTTCATTCCCATTTCCCGTCCGCTACAATGAATTTAAATGGTAACATTTCCATGGCTATTATAGAATGCAACATCCATGTATACAAATGTTCAACACTTGCTATTCTGCCACTATACATGTCAGCATTAGTTACAGCAACAAACAACAGTGGGAGATATGCTTAATCAGTGCTAGAGCAATCACCTGCCAAAAGTCAAGAGCATATCTCTAAGTAGCAGCACCATTTAATACAGATTGTTATTCTGTCAAGTTTTAATATCTTAGTACAAATGCAGCTGTCCTTCCAGAACTTCACAGAAGTTCATAGCATGGATATTCAGTGAAAGTTGTGATTTCAAAGTTTCTCAAGAGCTATGATGTATCACAGTATAATAACCACAAACATTTCTTCTTTAAATTTAAGCGAGCTTTGTGCTACCAGAAGTGTGAAGTACTGATGAAATAGTTGTCAAATTGCACACTTTGAACAGTGAGTGGCAGAAAACTGACACTTAGAAGTGCTGTTCATTTCTGTCTCCACTAAGAAATGTTGAATTTCAACCCCACAGTTTGGACCAGGTAACAGAATTAGTATACTAAGTCAACTAACCAGAGTTTTATTTCCACCATACACCCAACTAAATCTTTCAAAACTAAATACACCATAATCTAAAACTAAATTTTCAAAAATGTATTCTGCAAACTCAGAAGCAGTAGCTTCAGCCATGCACATAAAATCAAATGTCCAGTAATTTACTCTGAGGCTGGTTAAACAGAAATAATCTCTCTTATATGCCTGAACAAATATGTTCTAAAAATCATATCATAAATGCTTTAGGATGTCAAAACTAAATATTTTTCTTTTTCGCTTAGTTGGGGGTGGAGTCCAACTGGGTCCACTCGCCACAGCGGCCAATGATTGGCATAGTGCAGACTGCCCCAGGTGATTATGACGATGGGGAATTGGATGGAATGAAGATTGGCAGGGGAAACCGAAATATTTGGAGAAAACCTGCCCCAGTGCCACTTTGTCCACCACAAATCCCACTTGACCAGACCCGGGATCAAACCTGGGCCACCGCGGTGGGAAGCCAGCGACCAACTGCTTGAGCTATGGCACGGCCGAAACTAAATATAGTAAACACTCCAAGCTTCCTACAAAATGAATCTGCAAGTATAAGGCTCACCCTGAAAATTATGTTCCACATCCATTCCTTGCACAAGATGTTTTATTAAAAAGAAGTCAGTATGAAAATATCTGTAGGAACCTTTTTAAGTGCAGACTGTTAATGTCCATATGAGTTACGTATCTACTAATATTTTTTTTAGAAGTTTGGTGGCTTTTACTGAATTTATTGCATTCAGAATATTATAGATGAAAAGCAACATTCTTTTCAAGCTATTAACCCCAAACATAGCTTCCGTGCGATAAGTGTTATTTCTGCAGCTACATGAATGGTGATACCTACCTGAACAATCCTGACAGGGTCAGTCAATATATCTCTTGCTAATCGTTCAATTCTCTTCTTGAACGTTGCACTGAACAGCAGAGTCTGTCGATCAGGTCTCACATGATTACATATAGATCGAACTTGGGGTTCAAAGCCCATATCAAACATCCGATCAGCCTCATCTAGTACAAGAAATGTTACCCGCTGAAGGTTTGTGGCCTTCATCTTGACAAGATCAATCATGCGTCCTGGAGTGGCTACTACAATTTCTGCTCCACCTTCAAGAGCTTTCGACTGTTCCCACTTAGAACCACCACCATAGCAACAAACTACTTGAATGTTGTAAACTTTGCCAAATCTCTTAGCTTCATTATATATTTGCAGTGACAACTCTCTTGTAGGAGCAAGAATCAGTCCTATAGGTCCATCCCCGGGTTGGAGTTCCTTTTGATCCATTATGTGAACCAACATAGGCCAAATGAATGCTGCTGTTTTGCCACTACCGGTCTTTGCAATGCCAATTATGTCTCGGCCATTGAGGGCTGCTGGAACAGCCTGAGCTTGAATTGGTGTTGGCTGAGTGTATTCAGACTTCCGAACTGCCTTCATCAGTGCTTCGTCAAACCCAAAATGAGCAAAGCTGCTAACAGGGTGTGGTGGTAGTGGACCTGTCACTTTAATGCCAAGTTTCTGACGTAATTCATCAATCTGAATCTCTGTAAGATTAGATATTTCTTCATGGACATTGTAAAAATTCTTCTCAAAGTCAATATAATCTATTTCCGAATGATCAATTGGAGGCAGAGGATCAATTTCTTTGCTCTTCTTTGGAGCAATAGGATTACCATCTTCATCATACTCTATTTCCTGATCTGATTCATCATTCTGAACTCCTGCCAAAGGATTCTCTTCCATATACCTGTAAACAAGTTAATGAAAGAACATTCCTTGCTGTTATGTGAAATCAGCACATTCATCCTTGAAAAAACTGAGCTCTGTAAAAAAATACTGCTCATAAAACTTACTATAAATATAATATTTCATTAACACAATTCTTTTTCAGAAGCTTTAATATCATAATAGAAGGCCAAAAGGCTGTTTCCATATACTTCTATCATAAAAAAATGTGCAGTTGTCCCTATGCCTAATTAATTGAGCACCACACCATGAAGATCTGCAGATGAGTGCAGGTAAAACGTCACCTTCTTAACTTCAGCACTAGATGGAGGTGAGTGGTCAGCTTCAAACCCTGGGGAAAGAGCCCCATACTCACTGGGTAGAAGGTTGGGTGAGCCCCGGAGCTGGTCCAGATTCTGTGGACTACAGAAAAGTATCTTACCCCAGCCAAAAATTGAACTCCGGCCATCCAGCCCATAACTCATCACTACACTGACTGAGCTATTCCAGCTCTAGATGAAAGGATAATATTAAATTGGATATCAAGGAAAAAGGGTGTGAAGATGTGCACTGGATTCATCTGGCTCACAACAGAGTCCAGTGGCATGCTACTGTCAACATGGTAACGAACCTTCATGCTACATAAAAGGCGCAGTATTTCTTGAGCACTTAAGTGGCCATTTATTATCTTCTCAAAAAGAACTCTGCTTCATGGAGATAGTCTTACTGGTTTTAAGACACAGCAAGTTTGAAAAGTATAAGAATCAGTATTCAAGGAGAAGAAATGGTGCAGCGGGCTGTTTGTATTGTTGCTAGTAAGAAAATTGCAGATAACACCAAAGAAGCATGCATTAATAATGAATGTAATAGAAAAGTGCAATTGGAGTCTGAAACAACTACAGCAACCTTCTGGTTATTCATCAGAAGATCAGCCACACAAAATCTGAAGAATACTGTCATGTATATGGAGTGACTCTATAGATGGAATTTGGACTGGTAATTGGATTTACTGAACTTACACATCCTAAATACAACTAACTACAGTGCTATCACTAATTCACACACACTGCAGTTCACTACAGCATGTACTAAGTCTTCTCAATCTGCCGTGTCATCACCAGTCGTTTTCTGGTAACGGTTCCTAACAGTTTCCCCTGCTTCCGTGCTCATGTTCTTACTGGCAGGCAACTGTCCCAAAGCCAAGTTATTGCTGCAATTGTCCTGCTTATAACATCTCGGCACGGACCACACAGGAAACACTGCTCCTCTGTTGCCGTTCAATTGTTGCTTAGTGGACAGTGCAGAAAACACTATTCCTCTAATGTTGTTTGCGGGCCACTACCTAGCAACAGCCATTGTACAGTCGCCTATATGACGGTGGCTGCCTAGCAACAGGTCTACATGCCACAACATACTGCAATTATTCTTACAACCACAGAATGAAATAAAAAAACAAATAAATAAAATTAAAGCAATTAATTAATTAATTCCAATTAGTAATTCTATTTACATACATTTCTTACTACAAAAGACAGACATAAGATTAAAACATAAAATGAGTTGAAAGATTTGTTACAAAATTTACTAAAAATGTATTGCAGGCATCATTATTTGGTAAAATGATCTTGCTGTAAATACAAAGTTTGATTAATATGCAAAAGTCTGCTATGCATTTAAAAACAAAATCTGATATTTCAACTGAACATTTACAGTTTAGATATTGTCGCATGTAGGGGAGTAAGCCACAATATGATATCACCACATAAACAATATTTATATTTCTTGATTTATTCAGCAATCCTATGTCAAATACATGTTATACAGCATTCAGCAACAAATGACAGAATGATTATGAATGGTCAGATGGGATATCTGTGGAAGAAAAAAGAAGAAAATAATAGGAAATATCAGTTATGGCATTCAATCTCAAAGCCAAACTTCAGTTCAGGGGCTTCCCAAATATGAAGCAAGAGTACCACAGTACATCATTTTGTAGTATTAGCTATGAAGTGGCTTATCATACATAAATGTATACAATGTTTTGGGCACAGCCAGACACTTTTCTAATCAAGATTCACCATAAGAAGACATCAAATTACCTAACAAAATAAAAAAGCGAAATATAAAGAAACGGAGAGACATTACACATGTAGTGAGACGAAAGTCTCTGGACCAGCCATAATATTCCACATTAATTTCAAATTTGTAGCTCACAGTACTGACAAGTAACACTCTGTGGAGTGACGATGTGTGTTGTGCCCTTTACAATTAGAGTTTATTGGAAAATTACAAATTTCAAAGACTCTCATGCATACACAATTACCTTAAACTAGGCTACTGCTACTGAAACCTTATAGCTATAACTTGTTCTTGAAGAGGAAATGATGAACAGAACTGAAACACCTGACTAATTTTTCTAAGTTAAAAGATGAGTGACATCTGCATATTTCTGTAACACAAAACTGAACCTACCTGTAGTATGATTCTTCTACGTCTTCTTCCTCAATGTCATCTCTTATTCCTTTCTTCTTATCTTCCTTTTCTTGAATTGCATCAGTTTCTCTCTGAACCTCACGTTCAATACCAGCCATGAAGGCATCCAAAGGATCTTCCTCCGAATCAGAACTCTGGCCTCCCTGCGGCTGATATGAGGGGCTGCCTGGTGCTGGTATGTACTCTAGAGTTGATGTTGGTGTCACGTGTTCATCATCCTCATCAAAATACCTAACAAATGTACACACAATCGCTGAATTATATGAGAATAATTAGCATATTTCTATGCAGAACAACTTAATCAATCATTAACTGACATAATACAGAGAATTAAAAAAAGAAACAACTGTAATGTTCTGATTGCAATCATTGTGGAATTTTTTGGTATGACAACTCATTTATGAAGTAAACATACATAGTATGATCTGTATAATAATTATTAAATATTCTGTTTGCTTAGATCTTTTGTCTTCTAGTCTTAATTACACCATGTTTATAATTTTACAATTCAACAGCAAGTTTTATTAACTGTGCTACAAGCTGGATGACCAAAATATGAGAGTCTGATTCCTCACAGGGGCAAGATATATTCTCTGCTCCACAGTGTACAGACCAGCTCCAAGGCTCACTCAGCCTCTTATCCAATGAGACCAACTTATCTGAGTACAATTTAAATAAAAAAGAAAACTTACACCAAATGATTCAGAGGTCCACTTGTAAATACCTGCAAGAACAAGTTCACACGAAGTTGTGTGAACTGAAGTCTGTCAAAAAGTGGTGTAACATACATTCAGTTTGTGACAAAAAGGAACCAAAGGAATGTGCTAATTGAAGAAACCGTTTCATTCAACATTATGTTTTGCTGAAAAAGTTGATTAGGTGAACTTAGTGTTCAGATCAGCTAATATTTATACACGAGTTCTCACAATAAACTTCGTGAACTCACCACATGTGCTTGCTGTGGTAGCAGTGGACAGAAACCTCAGTATGGTTTGATGATGTGGGTATATCAGCACTTCACAGCTACGTTGTTGTTGATCTATGGCAATCTCTTTCTAAGTGGTGTCTATTATTGTCTGAGTGTCTTTTGTTGTGCCATTGCGAGAATTTCAGAGCTTGAATTAGAGCACTGTCTGTGAGGGAGTTTTGAGCCAGTAAACGATTGTGCTGGAACACCTTCCCTATTCGCTGGATCTAGCCCCCAATGACTTTTTGTTCCAAAAGGTAAAGGAAATATTCAAAGGAAGGCATTTTGATGATACTGATGATGTCAGGAGTAGTATGACGGCAGCTCTGAAGGCCATTCCACAAAACCAGTTCCAAAATTGTTTTGAAGGATGGACTAGGCACTGGCATCGGTGCATGGCTTCCCAAGGAGAGTACTTTGAAAGTGACCGCAGTGATATTCAGCAATGAGGTATGTAGCATTTTTACCGCGATAAGTTCGCGAACTTTATTGTTAGACCACATATATACACTTACCACACTGTATACTGTTATTCAGTAAGATGAGGTTCATGGAGGTAGGGAATCGGTAATCGTTTATATAATATCACCAACAAATACAATTTCACACTTACTCTTCCTCAGTCTTGGATCTTTTTCTTGGCAAACCATAACTTGCAGCAAGTGCATTCTGGCTGATGGCTGACATTGTTGAGTACCCATGTTTACTAATTGCACTTGAAGGAGGAGGTGGCAACTGACTTGCCCGATCACGTTTTAGCTGGAACCCAGAAAATCCAAATCCTCGTGGCTTCCCATCGCCACCTCGGTTATAACTCATCCTTGATTGACTCTTATAATGTGCGTGGTTCAGTACTGAACAAAATCAAGGACAGAAATTTCTTTTAAAATACGTCAGCCCATGTTACTATGCAGACAACAGAGTGTTTGCGTAAACATAAAACGTTTCTATTTAAATACCAGTGGTTCAAAGTAACTGGTTCTATCAGAGTTTAAAATAAATGAAGTGTAGAATTTGAGGTCCTCACAGCAGTGTTTATAAAGAGTTCCATCTTCTGGGATATAACGCCGTGTAATCTGCTGAAATCAAACCGACGTTTCGGATGAACATGTCGCCTCCATCTTCAGAGTAACCCAACCACGAAATCATCACGATCTGCTTCTCGCTGTTTGCTACCTGCTTCATTGTGGTTTCTTGCTTGGTTTATTCACTGACCCTGAAGAGGGAGGCGACATGGTCTTCCGAAACGTCGGCTGACTTCCAACGGACTACCGGCGTTAAATTCCAGATGAAAGGCCTCTTCAACATAGACTAAGATCGTGAGCCGCAGAACTTTATGAAGCTTGAATTATAAGCTGGTTGCAAGTTAAAATAATGTTCAGAGCAACAGCATATAACTACATAAATATATCTATCCTTTACAAATAAAAATTAAAACGATTACAAAATTAAACTACATACGTTCAATTAGATGAAATATGTCCTAACCAAACACCACACACCTTCCCTTTCGTTCCCTTTCGACCTAAGGGTAAGAACGGTAAGAACATGCCACAATGCGTACACAGATAGCAGCACGTTACAGAACACAAATTCGTATTGGTGAATCAAATTGGCGCAAAATTGAAATACTTGAATGCTGTGTTGGATTTGAACTCTTCACAGCAGTGGTTATGAATAGCAATATCTTCTGGGACATACCGCCGTGTAATCAGTTGTAAGCCAACCATCGTTTCAGGGGAAAATGTCGGCCTCCAACTTCAAGGTTGAAGACTAAAACACTTGAGCAAGAAACCGGCATGACCTGCTTAATGCTGGGTTTGCCATTGTTAGATCCAGGGTACATCTCCCCTACCGCCATCCCTATTGCTCACACTGTTTAAAGAGCCCTGACCATATTCCTAGTGTTAAACCATAGAGACTGAGGCTCTCGTAATGTCCGCTGGCTCTACCCGTGCAGAGTAAAAAATCTCTAATCTTTATCTTTATGACCAAGGCGGTCATTTACAAAATTCCTCTTCCTATTCTTTTTGACAGTCAGGCTTTCCACTCCCTCATGAGACATCATACAGTCTTGCCCTCGTACTCTCTCCAGAGTCCCCGAGAGATTTTGTCTGCTTCTTCAAAGCAGCAGAGGACCTAACAACTGGGCCCTCAAATGAGGGAGCCAAATGTTCTTCTCTCAAATTAGTGATAGGGGGATGTCTCCTGTAGCCACTGGCGTTTATCGACAGAGATAGCAGACCGTCCACCCCTGGTTCCAGTTGGACCAGCAATCGAACTGCAGCTGAGGCAGAAGAATATTCCTCTACCTTGACATCTTTGCTGGTCAGTCCAATTCTTCTTCTTGATAGACAGGTTACTAACTGGTATGAAGAGACTTTTTACAGGCTCACATTCAATGGACCACTGTCATTCACATCAAGGAGAGAAAGCTGCTCCCCCATCCAACCCTCCTAGCCACTGAGGACAGGGACCTCCTAGCTGCTCTCCTGCTATCAAGGAACAAAAAGCTCTCTCCTCCGATCTCTGGGTGTTCCAGATGCTACCTCTCATAGCTACCAGTAACATCAAAGCTCCAACCAGTAGCTGCAGCTAGACATGTAACCAAGCACCAGCCAAGCCCTCAGCTTCCTCATGAATACAGACCCCTACTTTCCTTCCTTAATATTATGAAGTGTTATTTCACATTTCTATTGTTAAATATTTATTCATGAAACTTCCATAAATCTCTGTAACCAGTTCACACAATGACAACTAATTACCTGTGACAGGTTAGGACTACCTTCTGAGATATCCTATGCATTGAATATTCCTCAAATCATACAAAGAACAAGCAAAGGGGAAGAACAAACACTTTAAATTTGGATTTATTCTTCTTGCCCAATGGATTTTTGCTGTGTAGGATTCCATTCTCAGAAACCAAAATAATAATAACAACAATATTCTTCATAACTTCACACTGTTCTAATAAAGTCTGTAATAAATATCATGAACGAATGGGTACAACTTTCACTACTTATTCGGGAAGTCCCAGATACAAATCTCGGATAGGAGGTCATCTATCCTAACTGAGGTTCTTCGATTCCCTAGCCAAATTCCGAGCTAGTACTGTCAAGCTTAGGGGGTTTGCATTACTTAATAGGATGGGTTCTGGATTCTATGGTTGGATTTATTGACACTTTATTCACATAATTTGGGACTACAGGCAATACAGCACTATCGCTATTCCCACACTTCACAGTTCATGGTTACACATGTACTAGGGTTCTCAGTATTCACTAGTTGTATCCTGGCAACGGATTTATAACAATCTCACTCTCACTTCAAATCACACATGAAGTCTTCTTTCCACAGCTTATTTTTTTGGCATTATTCTCCAACTGCCAATCCCGAAGACTCGACAGAGTTCAATTCCTCTGCTCCCAAGCTCATATGCCGGCAGGCTGAAGTCTTGAAATCTGACTCATTCTATGCTGCTCCTGCCAGTCAAAGTCAAAGTCACATTGTGATTGATGGTCAGTCAGTCAGTAAGTCTTTTTTTTTAATGCTAGTGGGGTGGGACTAAGTCCCTTGTACTGTGGCCACTTCTGGCCTATTGTACCAGCCCCAGATGATAGGTGAGTGTGATTGTGGAGCAATTGGTGGAATGAAGATTGGCAGGGGAACCGAAGTACTTGGAGAAAATCTGCCCCAGTGCCACTTTGTCCACCACAAATCCCACTTGACCAGACCCGGGATCGAGCCCGGGCCGCCGCGGTGGGAACCCAGCGACTAACCGCTTGAGTTGTGGCACAGCCTGTCAGTAAGTCTTGTTGTCAAGCCCAATCTGGGGCTCATGACCAGGTATTTATTACTGTTTGACAGTTACGGTATTGCTTTTGTGAGGCGCCTTCTCTGACGAGAGGGTCTGTTATTAGTTTTTTGCTTGCTTATTCGTTGCTGCGTTTAAAGAGTCGTTGCCTAGCAATGGACGTCCGACTTCACTATTCCGACTTTCGGGTATCATGTCACAATATTTTCAATTAGATAACGACAGCTCTGCCCACATTCTTTCCAATTCATTATTTACTAATCATCCTAGATTTCAACATTCTATAGTCTAAGTTACTGAACAAGTTACTACATATACTACAATTAAATAAATAAACAAGTAAATAGATTTATATGTTCCGACGAGTTCTTCTCGAGAAGCCAGCTGTTGCTCAGTTACCCAAGAAATTCTCAGCATTTTATGGAAGCAGAAGGTTTATTACCATGTTCACAAAAGCCCATAACTGGTCTCTGCAATGAACTAGATGAACTCAGACCATCTCCCCCAAATTACTCTATGATCCATGTTAAAATTATCCCCCCCCCCCATACCTGATATATGTGTGTGTGTTCGTAGAGACACGATAGCTCAGTCGGTATAGTGACGGGCTGGACAGCTGGGGTTCGATTCCAGAGAGGAGAAAGATTTTTCTCTTCACCATAGTGTTCAGACTTGAACTGGGGCACACCCAGCCTTCTATCCAATGGGTTCCGGAGGCTCTTTTTCCGAAGGTAAAGCGTCAGATGCGTGAAACTAACCACTCGCCTCCATCTAGTGCCGTAGTCAGGAATGGTGGAGCTATACCTCCAATCCGCCACACGTCTTCATGGCGTGGTGCTTAATTAATTAAGAACAAGGACAACTTTGCATTTTATACATTTTGTGAAGAATGCAAAGTAATTTACATAACCTTGAAGTGAATCTCTGTGCAATATTTTACATCCCACTTTGCATGAAACTCAGGCATGAGCAAATGTTCTATTCGTGAGTCTCACTTAGGAGCGACAAAAAAATATGAATAGAAGTAGTGGAGTGGGGATGGGGCCAACGTTCTAGAACAGGCATGTCCAACGCGTCGATCGCGGGACGAGATTTGGTCGATCTCATAGGCCTATAAGGAAATTACCCATTGAGCAAGGCATCTCTTGAAAATGAGATATTAACCCTTAAAAATTACATTTTTCTCAAGGCTCGTGTTGGACAAGAATCTTTTTGGAAGTTAGTGCCTAGACACAAATTTCCCAACTTAAGAAGATGCAGTGAACTTGTACACTCCTGTTGCGGTTCAACTTATTTGCGTGAATCTGCGTTTTCTTACCTAAAAATGACAAAGAGTAAACAACGTTCCAACATGAAGATGAACATCTCCAGGACTGCCCGAAACTGGCCCTCACCCAATACTCACCTGACTTCCAACAGCTGGTGGATGAAATGCAGGCCCAGTCTTCTCACTAACGAACAAGGTAAGTCTGTACTTTCAATGTATGTTGCTTTTACAACAAACATCATGTGTCATGTTATTTTTACCAATACTTTTGCTTAAAGATAGGTACGACGATAGATGGGCTGGTAGATTACTGGAAGTTTTGACACTAAAAAGCCGATCACAACCTGTTTGAAGTTGGACATGCCCGCTCTAGAACAACGAACCAAGTGGTGACATAGGTGGTACAGTTTATAAAAGTCCTCTTCCTTAACTGAGAAACATTTTCTGCTGATTTTTGAGTAATTTATTGGCAGTAATATAAACCTACGTTAAAACACTGTATAAAAGCTATTTTACGAATTAAGAAAAAAAAGACGACGATTTTCGTCACTTTATACGAAACGTCTTTTTATCAATTGTGAAGAAGTTCTGAGGACGTTGCTCTGCTCTGAATGGGGGACGGAACTACTTATCGCACTTAGGCTTGCGCCAGTCCTGACTGGAGAGGACACATAGATACCCGTCTGCTCTATAAACCGATATTTTATTAATCTCATCACATATAGAACACGCGAAAGAGATTTATGGCATTACATTTAAAAAATCTGAAATCTGTTACCCCAGTATTACTGCTTTTTATTCCATATTTTTTATGCACAGCAATGTTTTTCCTGTAGCGTGCGTGAGAAGATACCCAATCACAGCTAATAAACTTATTATAACGTTTTCTGTACTGAATTTTTCTTCGTTTCGAACAACTGAAGAATGTGGATGCGAGGACTGACGTGACATAAAACGCTAGCGTGCCCCTTTCTCCTGCAATTCACCCGCACCACGCTCTGTCAATCGATCGGAACTTCTCTGTCATGTACTTGTATATAGCACATAGCTACCCGGCCCAGGCTTGCGTAATAAGAGAAAAGAAGTACAAGTTAGTGTGCATCATGCTTCTCATGGTAGCATATAAGACAAGATTTTCTTTAAGTTAATCTTTCACTTAGGCAGAAGAGTGACTTTCAGTTCTGGTTTTCAAAGAAGCCGTAAGTGCAAGACCTTTCACATATGTGTCAAGTGTTTTATGTTGGAAATGGCGATGGAAACAGTATAAATGTTTGTTTTATTAAATTACAGCAACGTACACGTTTCTTTAGGAGTAATTATTTCAGTACCATCTACATATCCATACGTTAGGTAGTACACAGATTTCAATAATTATTTGTATTGACACTAAGCAGATATCCACAAAGTGTCTTACGAAGTGATAGTTACCCGCTTTTATAGAAATGTGATTGTTTCAGCTAAACGATTTTTAAGATTAGTGTGAACTTGTGCGATTCATTATCATTTAATGTAGGCTACAGATCTATAACGGGACTCTACAATTATTAAAAACCAGCCACAGAAATTGCCACTGAATATTAACATATGGTCGACCTAGAGACCATAAAATATTAATCAGTTTTTGCGGTTTATGTGGAACTGTTGTTCATATGTAAACATGTGTGTGTACAAGGTGATCAAGGCTGTGAACTAGTCTATTCTTACGTCTACCTTAGTTACGTATGCCACCAGCTGTTCCGTATTTGTTAATCATTACCTCATCGAAGCTATAGAGTCTCGCTACTGGATGCGTTGTCAAATATTTACTTAGATACTTACTTACTTACTCATGGAGCTAAGCCCTTCTTGAGGAACCGCCAATTCCTCGACTACTCAAGATTTTCCCAGCAGTTTATGGAACCCGAAGGTTCATTACCGTGTTCAAAAGAGCCCTGCACTGGTCCCTATCCTAAGCCACATCAATCCAACCCATATCATTCCATTCTATCTCTCTAAGATCCATTTTAATATTGTCCACCCACTTACGCATTGGTCTTCCCAGTGGTCTCTTTCCTTCTGGCTTTCCCACAAATATCCTATATGCATTCCTCTTCTCCCCCATTCGTGCTACATGCCCTGCCCACCTCATCCTCCTTGTCTTGATCATTGTAATTATATTTGGAGAACACGTTGTTAAATAACCAGATTAAAATAACTGATTCTATGAAATCATCCAATGTGCAGAAAAAGTTCCGTTTTTGTTCTCAAAACACGGCTTTAAAAAAAAATTCTGTTTTAACCGATTACGAAAGTTTCAAAATTTCTTCCGAGTTGAAATGGTTATTGCCCACGTCTAGGTCTGTATATAACCCTTAAACAATATTCACGCTATTATAATATAACTTTTAGTATTCTCTTTCTCAGGTAGCTAGAAGCAAAATCCTAACCATGCCAAGTTCCAGGAGGATGATTTTAGGTCATGTAGTGACTGACCTTAGCTCCAAGATGAACCGCACGAAGAAGCTGGGTGCTGACGTCATGGAAACACCACTCAATCGTTGCCTTAATACTTTCGATATCACACTTCTTGGTATGTAAGAGCAATGTACACTTACAACGACTTTTAAGCATGTAATTGCCAATATATCGAGATCTCCTTTAAGGCCTGCAATGATAGTTTAATCTTAAACTGAAATTCACATTTTTTTGCCCCAGATATCAATTCAGTAAACATGTTACATCTATCACAATTCCGACTTTCGAATGGACCATTCAAAAGACTGTCACCATATTATTAAAAAATCATGAAATGTATTAAAGATTATAAAGTATAAAGTAAAGTAAAGTTATCCCTGTAACAGGCCGTGGAGGCCCGTAGGGCTGTGAGATGTTGAGGTTCCACATTTTCTAGACAATCGGCTAATAGATGGCGGCTAGGTTGTCAGCCCTACGCGTCGGCCGTCCTTTACCTCCAAGAACATTCCAAAAATATTCCTGGTGCTCATTTCTGTTAGAGGCCGAGTCCAACCCAGGACCATAATGCAGCTGGAAGGATTAGGTCAATTGAAAAAATCTAATTATCTCATTGGAACTTGAACCCGCGACCTACCAGCTTGTACGTGTAGCATAATGCCTCAACCAGCTACGATATCGCGTGCCCCCTTCGGCATGTCGTCAAGGAGTGAATTGCGGACTTTTGGTTAGGAATCTCCTGCCGCTCCACGACGGCCTCCTTTTCTCCTGGATTTTGCTGCATCTTCTTAGGACCGTCCTCTCTTTTCGATCATCCCTCATGTTTGCTATCCAGGAATTAAATATGGATCTCATTTACGCTTGTCCAGATTTGATCTCTTCTCTTATGTCCTTTAGATTTACATCCGTCTTGGCTTGTTTGGCCTATATATCTTCTTTTAGTTCCTTCAGAGTTGCGCCAGCCTTTTCTTGCACTGCTTTTGTATTGGCGTCCGCCTTTTCTACGTTAGCTTGCATGCTGGCGGTTATTTCGGCCAGGATGGTTTTCAGGAATTCCATGTTTTCCATTTTTATCGAATGGCTCTGTAAAATAAATCTTCGTTTCAATAATCGCGGGCTTGGATTGGTGAATCGCTTTACTGGATCTTTTCTAGTCATAATTACAATCAGTTTTTACACTCTCAAGATTACTGTAACTACGATGTATAGCACATATAACGTCACACACTAGTCTTCTAATTTTTCTTCTTGTCACACTGCTGTTCCCTTGGAACTCCGGAATTCAAGTGCAGTCAATTCAAAGTCGAAGTCAAAGTCATAGTCACATTGCGACTGACGGTCAGGCAGTCAGTCAGTCAGTTAGTAAGTCTTGGTGTCGATCCCCATCTGGTGCTCATGACCAGGATATTTATTGCTATTTGACAGTTACGGTCTTGTTTTTGTGGGGCGCTCTTTCTGACGAGAGGACTGGTCTGTCTCTTGTATATGCTGCTGGCACTTGCCGGCGTAGTCTTCCTCGGGTTCGAGTTCCTTGGCAATCGTGACCATATATTACTGTCTCAGTTTTGAGACTTCCCTTTTCGTCGTCTCCTACAACTCACAGGGTCACGGTGGAGGTATTCAACCCCGCCTCCACACGAGTTTCAAGTCAATTCCCATTCCCACATTCTGTCATATTATCTCGGCATGGACCATGAACAGAAAACAGCCCCTCTATTGTTGCCTGGCACAGGCCACATTGAAAACAAGTCACGTGATAGCTATCTAGCCAGCCCATTGGTGCGCTGATTGTTACCTAGCAATGAGTTATAAACATTTGTCCTATTGTTGCTGACCTTGAGTGAGAAGGTGTTTCAGGTGCCGCTGCCTAGCTATGCACGTTACAATGTGTTATATCTATCACAATTCCAGTTTTGGAACGTACCATTCAAAGGACTGTTCCCATACTGTTAAAGAAACATGAAATATAATAAAGAATGTGGCCATCTTAAATAAGAAATTTTCTTTCATATTTCTATGTGCTTCAAAACAAAAATGAAATTAAGCAGGCAGCGGGACCTGTACTAACACCCCTCCCCCATAAAAATTACTGAAAATAGAATTTTATTCCATGATTTATGCAATGATTGCATGCAATGCATGATTGCATGCAATGAACTAGTTTGGCGTGGATTGAGTAAGCACCAGAAGATGGCATTTTTATGCCGAAACATGTAGTGCGAGTGAGAGAAGGAGATAGATGAGTGTATGCACTGCAAGACGGTTTAAATAAATCATGGACTTAAATCAGTGCAACAGGACGCTAAAATATAACATTAGAATTTTATATTTGTTAACGCTATTGACTTATAAAATTGCTATTTCCATGTTTTTAGCTGAAGAAAATTATTCAGTACCCATTAATTGACATCTGGTATTAGAGTTCTAAACAAACTATAATTTTTTAAATCGTCATTTTTTAAGTTTTCAATTGTGTTAACTGTTTTCATTTATTTGCCTATAATATTGTTACATTGAAGATGGTTTCTAACTTAACTGGCATCTAAATTTATTGCGAGTCTTCGACTTGTTCCATATAACTGCCTGCAGTTGCAGTAGAGTAGTAGAGAGAGGGGTTTCAATTCAAATATAAGTTTATTCCAAACAGAAAATAACATGTCTATTTAATGAATATGCAGAGTCAAAAAGAAGTTCAACTAAATATAAAGGAAGTGCGAGAAGATGGTCATGTCCATATGGCAATTTGTGAATCAGTAGAATTATTTTATGAATTTAATTTATTGCAAGCAAAAATTAATTTATATTAATACAAGAATGAGTTTATTATAATAATCAGGAAGATCTGGAATTCCTCTATTCTTAGAATATTAAATGAATGTTAAACCAATGGAAAAGTGTCTTGGAATATTCATGGAGTTTATAGACAGCCAGCTTTTAATGCTAATGATTATATTTTGAAAGAAGTTAACATTAGACGAATTTAACAACCCTTATGATAAATGAAATCTGAAGAATTACTTTTGAAGGAAGAAGAGGCAAACAGCTTTTTCAATGATGATTAATAAGGTAATTTTGCATTTACCATAGGTGTACATTTTGTTGCTTTAACTTTTTTTTAATAACATACTCCTATGATAGTGCAGTCAGCGTAATGGCTGGCTACAGGCTTGAGGACTATGGGGTCATAGTTTGAATATTCACTTCTCCATTTCATCCAGACTGGCTCTGGGGCTCACCCAGCCTCATATCTAATGGGTACTCATGGCACTTTTCTCTGAAGTAAAACAGCCGGGGTGTGAAGCTGACAATTCACCTCCTACTAGTGCTGAGGTCAAGAAAATATCAGTCTATAAATCCACACCTCCATATGTCTTCATTGCTTAGTGCTTCATTAGTTAAATGCAGGAACGAATCAAACTTTTTTTACCCTACATATGAATTTAAAGAATTATTCCGGTAAGTTTATGAAATTTAGAGACTTGTTTCCCAGCTGATGCATATTCAGTCAAACAGATGTCTGTTTCAAATGCCAGTCAGCTGTTCAATACTGTGAAAACATTGAATGTATTGTGGAAACTTGATCAAATCTTGTCTGTTTCATTTAATTTAATCTCTTAGATTACAGAACAACATTATGTCAACTAACGAAGTTTAATAATATAAAATGAATAATTACAGAATGGTTATAAATGATGAGTTTGCAAGGATTATGGAGGAAGTAGTTAACAATGAAACAGCACAGATCCAGTTAGGATAATTTGTTCCCCAGCTGAGATTCAAACTGATTACTTTCAATTCTGAGTATAAAGGATGAGTGATAAGAACTATTGCATGGCAATTAGTTCATACTTTTCCTAGCCCAAATGGAAATCAGTAAATTTAAGAAACTGCATGTGCAGTTATTTTCAAATTTGTAACTTAGAAGTTATTAATGTAAGGTGAGGCGGTTATAATACACATGCTATGTATATTGAATTAATATATTACGTTTTCCTTCCAAAAATATCTGCGATATTTATATGGGTTAAAGTTTATATCAGTATCATAAGCAAATATTTTTAATATATATGTGTTGCATTATGGTGTCCATCTTTCAGGTGTGGGCCACATGGTAGGTGCTGGAATATATGTCCTCACAGGAACTGTGGCGAAGGAGATTGCAGGTCCTGGCATTGTTCTATCCTTCCTTCTTGCGGGAATAACGTCCCTGCTGGCTGCTCTTTGTTATGCTGAGTTTGGAACTCGGATTCCTAAAGCAGGATCTGCATATGTTTATACATACATCAGCGTAGGAGAGTTCTGGGCTTTTGTAATTGGTTGGAACATTATATTGGAACATATGATAGGTAAAGATTACATTTTATTACATAGATAACTTTTCCTGGTAGGAAAAATTAAGTTTCAAATTCTCTAATATTAAAGCCTAGCATCCACCTCTCATTCTCACACCTGTCATCAAAAGACCTAACTCAGTGTTATCTTCAGTTTTTCCTTTTCAGTCTTCTGACTGACTGCCACACTAGACGTTTTCCCTCTAAAATTATATATATATAAACTATGGTATATTTGCTCAAAGCAAGAATTGTGGAGCCAGAGAAACAGCCATTACTAGCAAACATCTCTGGAACAACATTCGTTTCTAGACAACAGCTGTGAAACAAACAATGGAACTGTGGGAACATCCCACATTATCACGCATTTTCTGCAACGCACACTCTTCACATCACTTTTCACCATCATGTGTGCTAACCAACCAATCAAATTGCTCCAAACGTTCGCATTTATACTGCGCTCGCTGCTAGCCCCACATCTACATCATCACGCGCGCTAGCCAATCAGCACCCTGCAAATTCTTTCTCCTCAATTTCAAGTTTCGCTCCGCCCACCGAGTAGTGTATAAAAAGGAGCAGCCACAAACCGGCAGCATCAGTCTGACTTCAGTCTACGATCAAGCCACACTCAAGCAACATCAGCCAGCAGGCTTCGTCGCCAGCACTCGGTCTTCGGAGGCATCGGCAGGCTGCGCCAGGCACGACTGCCTCGGCCATCCGACTCACTGGGGCACTTCGCCTGGACTCGCCGGTGGTCGTGTCCTTGTCCGACTCACTTGGCATCTGGCATAGCCACTGCCTCATCACTCCTACGACCGCGCAGCGTGACCACGCAACTTCAACTCACCTGCCGCACGGCGATCAAGCAACCTCCAGCAAAGGCCGCGCTGTGGCCAGTCAAATCACTGCAACTAACCTCTCTCCCTACCGGTGCGCGCCACGCTACCTCACCGGTCAAGCATCTCAGCAACCATGGTCCTTTTCAGGACCAACAAACTGTTCCGAAGAAGTGGGTTGTCATTGAAGTAATGACAAAACTACATAAAACCCCACAGAACAATGTCCATTTAAAAGCAGCAGATTCTTGATAAGCAACATTTGAGTGACATCCATTGAACAGCAACAGAGGAATGGTGTTTTCTGTGCGGTACGCGCTGATATGTTATAACTGGGACAGTTTGGGGCAACCAGTCATTTGCAAGAGTGCTCAGTTAATAGTCAGGTGGCTAGGATTACAACTAGGAAGTTAGTGTGAAATGATCATCAGTCAGTTGTAGGGAAGGCAGGCAGTTGGAAGAGAGCCATCATTGAAAGAGGATTTGAGCCTGGAAGCAAGCCATTACCAAGCAACAACCAGTGAAGACAATGTGGGTTGGAAAATGCTTAGCATGTTCTCTAGTGTTCAATAAATCAAATATCCAATCCAAAACACTCGTCAAGATCCACACTAACATGTGAGAATATATGTATTGTATATATTTATCTGTGTCTATTGCAAGTTATGTATCCAGTACATCATAATATTTTTTTTTATAATACTGAAAAAAAAAACAACAAAGAGACTGTCTAGCAGTAACAGTTTTATTTGGGAGATATTTGGTTTCAGTCTCAGTTGGGACACTGGACATCCTGGCTGAGGTCTCTCATGTTTGCCTCAGCTTCTCCAGGAAAACTCCAGAATAGTATCTTGATTAGGCTATGGTTATTTCCTGTCACATCTTTTTGAACACATCATTCATTAATCAACTTACCATTAGACATAACATAGTCTGAGATACTGACACAATTGTTAAATAACCAACAAAAGAAGATGCTGAAAACCATGCTTAATAATGAAGACATAAGATAGGCCTGCAGTCATTTTTTGTCAGGCAAACTGGAGTTTCTGGGACTTGACACTCGAGGTTTAATGACATGTGCAAATGATAGCATTGTTATATAAGTTAGAAAAAAACAAGACACTGTACTTTGAAATATTTTAAACATAATGACTAAATCTGCAAATATTTATAGATTTACTGCAGGAAAGTAATGAAGTATTGGCTTTTGTTGATGTGGGCAAGAGCCATGTATTTGGTATAACTGTAGTTATAAACAAGTTATACAGTTTAAAGGAAACTCTAGAAGATAATTCCACCCTTTTGCAGAAATTCAGCATAATGTCAGGATAAACATAGTGAATAAAGTGATGTCCATATTGTAACATACTAAAATATTAATCTTAATATGTATTTAGCAGTCATTCTCTATCCTCAATTGTAAGGGAACAGTATATGTAGACAGTACACTGTCTTGGAAAATACATATTGAACAAATTATACCTAAATTAAATGCAGCTTGCTATGCGATGAGATCAATTAAGCCTTTTATGTCACAGGAAACACTGAAGATGGTTTACCATGCCTACTTTCATTCTATTATGAACTATGGATTAATATTTTGGGGGAACTCTTCACATAGTGTAATAATTTTTAAAATACAAAAGAATATAATTAGAATCATTACAGGATGTAGAAGTAGAGATTCATGTAGAGAATTATTTAAGAAATTAAAAATTCTACCTCTTCAATCGCAATACATATTATCGCTTCTCTTATTTGTTGTTTACAACAAAGATAAATTCAAATTAAATTCTGATNTAAGCTAAAATTGCCTGTACTTATGTATGTAACCTTTTGACGTGTTCTGTATCCAAAGGTACTAACCTACTTAGGATTTATAGAATGTAAATAAATTCAATTCAATTCAATAACAAAAGTCAGTACTGGTAAATTATTTACACAGACATTCAACAAATATACTTATTACAATAATCATTACCACCAGTAAATTAATTTCACCAGAAGACATTTAATTAGAATCATGCAACTTAGTATATTTCTTGTTCAGAATAACAGAAATTTTTCTTTCTGTTATTTGAGTTGGATTCATTTATTGTGAAACTCATGACCAGCAATCTGTAACATAATCACTCTCTCACTGATGGAGATGAGCCCTTCTTGAGAAGCCGCCAGCTACTCAAGAACTTTCCAGTGATTATGGAACGTGAAGGTTCATTATCATGTTCACAAGAGCATCTCCTGAGCCAGAACAATCCCATCCATACCATCCCATCCTATCTCTCTAAGATCCATTTTAATATTGTCCACCCACCTACGTCTTGGTCTTTTTGCTTTCCCAACAATACCCTATCTGCATTCCTCTTCTCCACCCATTCATGTTACATGCCCCACTCATCTCATCATCCTTGACTTGATCATTCTAATTATACTTGGAGAAGAGTACAAGTTATGAATTTCCTCATTATGTAGTTCTCTCCAACCCCCGTCACTTCATCTCTCTTCAGTTCAAATGTTCTCCTCAATACCATGTTCTCAAACACCCTCAGTCTAGGTTCCTCCCTTAATGTCAGAGACCAAGTTTCACAGCCATACAGAACCACAGGCAAAATTATAGTTCTGTATATTCTGATTTTTATGTTTTTAGACAGCAGACAAGAAGAGAGAAGGTTCTGGACTAAATGATAGCAAGCATTATCTGAATTCAATCTCCTCTTAATTTTCTCCTGAACGAGGTTTTGATTTGTTATAGTCATTCCCAAATTTCTGAACTGTTATACATTTTCAAAACATCTGTTACCTAGCTTTGTGTCATAATTTTACCATGCATTCTGGTGATGTGACAGCAAAATATATTTAGCTTTACCTGTGTTTACTCCTTGATCAACCTCCTTACTAGAGTCAATTAAAGCTTGTGTGTCTTTCTTTATGGTTTCTATGAACCCAGTAGATTCACATTATCAGCATAAACCAACAGCTGACGTGTCCCATTTCATTTCAGTCCGACCTGGTTTTCCTGGACTTTCCTAATGGCATATTCTAAAGCAAAGTTGAGAAGGAGTGGCAATAAAGCATCTCCTTGTCTTAGACCATTCTGGATAGGGAAATTATCAGACAAATGTTTAGCTATAAGGACTTTAACATACGTTTCGTTTAAACACATTTTAATCAAATTAACTAGTTTCATGGGTACCCCAAACTCTATCAGAATATTGTACAATACTTCCCTCCTAACTGAATCATAGTCTTTCTTGAAGTCTATGAATAGCTCATGTACTGTGTCATTGTACTCTCATTTTTTTTTTCCAGTATCTGATGAATGCAAAAGATCTCGTAAGTAGTTAATCTGTTACGTTGAAACCCACATTGATGATCCCCAATAATTTTATCTATGTACGGACTTAACCTTGAGAGAAGAATATTAGATAACATTTTGTATGAAGTTGATAGCAGTGATATCCCATGATAATTACTTCACTCAGTTTTATAAACCTTCTTGTGAACTAGTACAATATTAGACTCCTTCCACTGATCAGGCAATTTTTCCTTATTCCAAATAAAATTAATTAGCTTATGGGTCTTAGAACGTAATATTTCACCTCCTGCTTGAATCAGTTCTGCCAGAATTTGATTACTACTCAGCGATTTATACCATTTCAACTTCGCAACAGCAATTTCAACTTCAAAAGGGTACTAATGGCTCAGCTGTATTTCTATCTGCCTAACACCACTGACCCTATGTACATTCAGTAACTGAGAGAAGTTCTTCCACGTCTTCAAATGTTGTGGAAATCTGCAAGCAGGTCACCATTCTCACCCTTCACTAAGTTACTTCTAGGGTGGTGACCCCTCCTAAAATAATTTATTTCTCTATACTTCCTTGTTCTTTCTGTTCACTGCAATCTTATTAAGTTTGTCTTTCAGATATTCCCTCTTGTATTCCTTAAATGCTACCTGGTTTCACATCTTATATTTTTCACATTATCCCCATTTATTTTACTTGGGTCCTGTAACCACTGCAAATATTTTTGGTTCCTTTGGTCTAATAATTTTGAGCGTCCATCATCAAAATATGGCTTATGCTTCTTCAGTTCATAATAACCTAGACTCTCTTTGGCAGAAATGTTGATATTCTCTCTAAAAGTTTTCCAAACTCTATTAATACCCATCTCAATGTCTAAGTTTTCCAAAGCCACAAACCTATTTGAGATTTCAATATGATACTGCTCTGTTCTATCTACTTTAATTTCTTGAGATTGAACCTCTCCATATGAACTCTCTTGTGTTAAAAATTTAATTGATGTTTTTAACATCAACTTAATTGAGTACATTCTTATGCGACAGACATAATTTTTATTCTAGAAAATTCAGTGTTTTTTGTATTTCTTTAATTCCAGGAGCTGCCTCAGTGGCTCGTGCATGGAGTGGCTATGTGGATTCACTGGTGGGATTTGCAATCAGTAATGCCACTGTTTCTACAGTTGGTGAAATGCACGAGCAACTGTTGGGACGATATCCAGACTTCCTTGCATTTGCAGTCTGTCTTGTCTATGCCTGTCTTCTTGGTGTTGGAGTGAAGGGATCAGCTATTTTCAATAGTCTATTTACCATAATTAACCTCAGTGTTATGATGCTTGTTATTTGTGGTGGCTTTTATTATGCTCACATTGAGAACTGGACAGTGGGCAAGGGGTTCCTCCCATTTGGTTTCTCAGGGGTTGTAGCAGGAGCAGCAACATGCTTTTATGCATTTGTTGGATTTGACAGCATAGGTGAGTAAAATGGTTAAGTTCTATTATATCTTTATGTTCACTTATAGAAGAAACCCACTGAATATCACATTTGTTCAAATCTAGTTGCATTTCAATTTTGAAAGTTTAAACTGAAGAGGAACAAATTTAAGTATCAATATTATTTGAATTTCATGTACTGTCTTCGTTCGCTTGGAAAAAGGGGGATCGTGGGTTCGAATCCCGCTCAGAGCATGGATGTTTAGTTTGTGTGTGTGCGTTTTTCTGTTTGTGTACAGGTAGAGGCCTTGTGATGAGCTGATCACCTGCCCAAGGAGTCCTACCAAATGTGTAAGATCTAGAAAAACCGAAGTGAATGGAGAAGTTCATGGAGGTAGGCCTAGGCCCACTGGGGCTGTAGTGCCAAGGAAAAATTATTTGAATTTATTGCATTGTTTCTTAATAGAGATCATAGCTATCATTTTTTTAAACTACAAACCATAAATGTCCCATAATTGTTACTGGATATTTATACATTTTTATTTTTCTTAGTTTCACTTTTGGGTAACATACAGAGAAGAAATATCTTCATTGTACAACATGTAATCTGAAGTTAAAGGAAAAACATTCTTTCAGACTCTACTAAATAATCATAATTATACTTTCACATTTGTTGCTAATAAGAAAAAAAAATAATTTAAATAAGAATATCAGTTTGGTGGTAACTTCTATGAAAATACCAAATAGAACTGAATATGAGATTTGAGGTTCTAGCTGTAGTGAATATAAAGATTTTCTTCTTCTGGTATGTGATTTTGCATAGTTTGATTGATGAGCATCAACAATTTGGAAAAACTCACTGCCTCTATCTTCAGAGTAGAAGAGTGCATTAATATAATAAGCAATCAGCTTTTTGAGCAATGTTTGGAGAGACAAGCATTTTGGAAACTATGAGAGTATTATAGGATAATCAAATTTTAATTTCAAAATCTGCAATACATGATATATTAAAAAACTGATTGTCTGTTAGTGTATTTAATAATAATTACGAATGGTGTGAAGGAGGAAGCGGTTTAGGTGAATTCAAAGAAATAATGAAAGCCTGAGTTACTGCGGTCAGTCTCAGCTAATTTCTAAACATCCTGTTTACAAGCCTGTTTGAAAATGAGGCAAATTGTATATAGTATCATGTATTTCAGCATGCCCGATTACTCACTATGTTATCACCAAATTAATGAAAACATGATTTTCAACAAACCATTGTGAAAGACTCAAGAATATGATGAAGGATTCATGTGTTCCAGCTACCTCTGGTGAGGAAGCTCGCAATCCAGCAGGGTCAATTCCTGTTGCAACAATTGTGTCCATGTCTGTGGTCACACTTGGGTATATCCTTGTGAGTGCAGCCTTAACATTGATGGTGCCTTACTGGACCATCAGTGCAAGTGCTGCTTTGCCAGAAGCATTCTCCAGTATTGGTCTCAATTGGGCAAAATATGTGGTATCTATAGGCGCACTATGTGGAATGACCACAACACTCTTTGGCTCTCTCTTCTCACTCCCCCGATGCATGTATGCCATGGCTTCCGATGGACTCCTCTTCAGCTTCTTGGGATCCATTAATCAAAAGACACAGGTTAGCTACAATCATATCTGACTTCCTTTGTTAATACATGCTGAATACAGTTTTGATCATGGAGGCATGAGAGAAACCTGGGTGGAAAAGTGAACTCCAGTTTGTTACATTTAAAGTATTTGAAGTTCATTTTTTGCATAGAGCCTTTTTTTAACATACAACACACTGGAAAATGTTTCATATACAAATTATAGATCATAATATATACATGCATATATTGCAAATGAATTTTTGTACTATGACCTCATTTTTTAATAATTTTGGGTAAAATATGAATTATATCAGCATGAAAAAGGGAAAATAAAATTCCTCTCACAAAATCACCCTAAAACTATTACACTTGTAAGATTTGAGGCTTTCACGGCGGTGACTATGAAGAAAGCAGTCTTTTGGGATTTGGCACCGTGCATATGTGGTGTTAACCGACGTTTTGGAGGAACGTATCGCCCCCATCTTCAGGGTTGAAGAAGTATAAGTAAATCTGCAAGCGACAACACTGTGAGACACGGTCAAGCAGACTTGCACATCATAACATTTTAAACCTTTCAATTCATTCAAGCATTGCAGCAAGAATATAGACATTCTTAATGAAGTATACCAATATATGTGAAATGTGAATTGAAAATTCTGTGAACAGTTTTACATAAAACTACTTCTCTGCTGTCTGTGAACACACTTAAGATAAAATAAAAAAAATTACTCTGTCACTGATGAATATATTAGCATCACAACATTCAAAATATGGACATCTCAAAACCATGAAGACAGCACATTAATTATTAGGTTAAATAATATCTTTTCCTCTTCCCTAGGTTCCACTGACTAATCTGGCAATATCAGGAATTTCCAGTGCTCTCATTGCTCTATTGTTTGATCTTGAGAAATTAGTAGAGTTCATGTCTATTGGGACTCTCTTGGCCTACACTATAGTAAGTGCTTCTGTCATAATTCTCCGGTATCGTCCTCCAACAACAGAGGAAACCGCTGCAACTGGAGTTGGAGCTGTGGTAACTGATGACAGTTCACAGTCAGGGGCTGAGCTTGCCTCCCCTCAGTCAGACGTAAGTACTGTTTCCTATTTTCTCATGTGAACATGGCAAAAATGTTCTTCATTCTCTAGCCATGTTTAAGTTTCCCTTTTGTTTTTCTTCTAGAAAGGGAATTATAACAATTTATTATTCAGTGTGTTTCCACTGAGAAACAAATTTGCTTTGTATAGAATTGTAGCGTGTAGATCTGTTGCTAAGTAATGACCCTGTAAACAATGATAGTGCTAGGCAACAGATTTATAACATATACCAATGAAAAGTAGCAGAGGAATGGTGTTTTCTGTGAGGTCTGCTAAGCAAAAATTGGACAGTAACAGAGGAATGCTGTTCTCTGTGTGGTCTGTGCCGAGCTCTTATAAGCTGGACAATTAGTTAATTAGTGCAGTGCAGTGTAGGTAAGTGAAAAGTTGGTTGGTGAGGTAGTGTGTTAGAGACTGCAGTCCAGTTGTTGTGAGTTGTTGCTGTTAGAAGCTGGTAGCTGAAGCATGGGGACAGTTTCGGAACTCAGGGATGACTTTGCGAACTTTATTGCCAGACTGCATATATCCACATCAAAATATTATCAATACTCACAGAATAGACATGATACATCAAAACAAGAGACTGTTTGCTCATTTGTTACCTACTACATCACTTATATCCATGCAACATGTTAACACTCTCAGTTCATTGCTATAGCTGCCTGAATTTGTGTAACAACAATGATAAATCTCATGCTCATAAAACTTCTAAATTCATATAGTCATTCTTTTTCTTTTCTTCATTTTTTTTAATTATATTTGGGTATTTCAGCTACATGTCCTGTAATGTGACAAAGTCTGTATCCTATACCATAGTTTATAAGATCCAGACAGAACTTCGAAGTCTACTGCAAGCTTCGGTTATATCAATTGTTATTTCATGTCCCTTTTCTGTTTCAACTTCAATTAAAACTGCCGGTGGCTTAGTAGCCACATAATTTTTAGCTCTGTCCATCTTCTGGGTTGATAGAAGCCACAGAGAAAGCAACAGCAATACCCGAAACATTTGCACCAGCAAAATATAGCAGCTGCAATACATATCAACAGGAATACAAGCAAGATCATTATGAGTACTCAATGATGAATAATGGAATTCAGAATGTTGTCATCCCACATTAGGATTTGATCTGTGTTCTATCTTCCATGCCATATGATTTATCTGATATAGGGATATTTACTTTTCCTTCTAGGGAATCTGGGCTTTTGCTTTGTTTGAACTGCTTCCATAGAGGCTCTAATTCCCTATTATCTAAGTCTGAATATAAAGAATCTATGTCATTTCCTTTTAATATTTCCCCCGTCATCTCCCAAATATGAAGCATCGACAGAAGCAACAAAATTCTCATGCAGTTCCAGATCTGCTTTATAAAAAGGAAGCCAAAAAAATAAAATTCTGTAATGCAGAAGTAACATAGTGACATGTTTTCCTATTCATTGTCATTTGTTACTAAGTAGACATGAGGTTTGGATTGACTTTTCAATGTTTTAGGTACTTGGTATCCTAAGTATTGTACAAATATACGTAGTTACAGTATTTTCACTGTTCTGAACACTCTACACTTCACTACAGCATGCACTAAGTCTTTCAGTCTGCTGTCTTAAACAGCTGTTGCCTGGTAACGTCTTTCAACGGCGGATGTTCCCCTTATTCTGGGTACCCAAACTATCCCCTTGCCTCAGCTACCAGCTTGCAACAGCAAAACCTCATAATGACCAAACTGCAGCAGTTTTCTAACTAACTGACTGCTCACCAAATAATTTCACTCCACTGCACTCAACTGTATTGCACAGATTCCTAAACAAAAGTTAAAAAATTGAACAAAAGTAATCCATAAAATTTAATTAATAGAATTCTACATACTTGCAAATTTCATAATACATGTATGAAATAATGAAGTAAGGCTTGTCTTAAGTACCAGTATATATTGCAATCAATGAATCAACAGATCAATGACAAAATCAATGAATGGATCAGTCTGTCAGTCAGTTCCTCATACACTATATATCTTATTGCATAATTTAACTTTGTGGTTTACAGACTGTGGAATTAGCGATGGCTGGGAGACTGAAACCAAGCTTCAGATGGCTCAGTCCATTAGTTGGCAACTGTGAACGTGGAGGAGCTGTATCAGGAGCAGTATTTGTTTTCACATGCTTTAGTACTGCCTTATGCATACAGCTGCAGTTTTCATCAGATGAAATGAGAACTGGTATCTGGTGGACAGTCCTCCTGGCCGCATTCTTCATTATTTGCCTAGCAGGGTGTATGTACACTCATTTATTTCTTGTGCTCTTTACATTACTTACACAGTGCAGGGTATTTCTTGAAAACTTGATAGTGCCTTGAGTAAAGAAATTTCTTGCTTCTTATAGAAACCTCCTATTGTATTTCTTCAAGCTGCATTTTAATATCATTCTCCTATCAATAGTCATGTCTCCTACGTGACCTCTACCAGACTTTCCCATTACCAATATCATATGCTCTTTCCATTGTTTAGTACATCCCAAATATGACGTCCAAGTCTGAGGACTTTTGTAAAGTTTTATAATGTGCTACCGCTTTAAGGAGAGGGGTTGTTATCCCTACATCCAACTCTCAAGCTGGATGACCATCTTTTGTTGTGTGTTTACAAGTACTTATTCAACATATTTACACCTACCCCCCACATCCAGATATTGCCTCCAGCACCTGCAATCTGAGGACAATATGTTATGTAATCCTGTTAATATGGGATCTGTTTGGTACTGGAGTGCAGGTGCTATTTTATTACAGTTACTGTGTACAATTACTTGTTTTGTGTCACTTCACAGTTTATCTCATAGTGTTTAGCAAAAATATATGCATGCAATATGCCAATGAGTTCTCAGCTATCACAAGCAGCTGATGATAGTGACAGAAAAATTGCAACATTGAAAAAGGCCAGGTGTGTAAAAGGTAAAGAGAAACAGGAAAATAAGGGAAGGAGTGGGAATTATTTATTTTCTGTATTATATAAATATATGACAATAACAAAATAGGTATATTTTTTAAACTCTATCATCAATCATGTCAGTATCCCTCATGAAGTGCAGCTAGTATCACTTCCAGTTCAGAAGTTCGCACAGTTCTTATGTTGCTATTTTTTGATAAAAGAGAAATAAAATACAAAGGCATGGGCTTCTCCAGACATCCACACCATGTTTCATGCAAACCCATCAAATTGTTGAAAAAATTTCAGAGGGAAACAGGGATGTACACAGACTTGGTGATAATATAATACTAATATTCCTTATAGGGTCGCACCATAGCTCAAGCAGTTAGTCACTGGCTTCCCACCACGATGGCCCAGGTTCGATCCCAGGTCTGGTCAAGTGGGATTTTTAGTGTACAAAGTGGTGCCGGGGCAGGTCTTCTCTGAGTACTTTGGCTTCCCCTGCCAATCTTCATTCCGCCAATTGCTCCACAATTACCCTCACCTATCACCTGGGGCTGGTAAAATAGGCCAGAAGTGGCCACAGTACAAGGGACTTAGTCCCACCCCACTAGCAATAAAAAAAAATGCTCCTTATAAATGGAAGTAGGTTAGACATGACAAATGTATCAGGTTGAAAAATATAGTATATTTCTCCAATAGTCATATAATATTGTCATGTGTTAGTTACTAGACACAGGATTTGTATTGCTAATTGGATTTATTGAACACTTATAACTGATAACTACAGGTAACTATAACAGTTTCACAGATCTACATGCTCTGCAAATCACATCACAATATAGAACAGTTAATTTCATCAAATACAAAAGGTTATCACAATAGGACATTGCATTTGCACATTATACTATTACAGTGTTCCGTATATAATGCCTCCTATTTTTTTTAAAGAAAACTACAACAGATACAGAAATCATAATAACACAGTTAAATAGAGCAAGATTTAAGCTACTTACAGCTATTTTTCCACATAATCATCACCATTCGTTATGCACTTTTGCCAGCGATTAACAAGAGCCTGTATGTTGCGCCCGTAAAAGTCTGCGCCAGCAGAGGCTAGCCACTTTCTTACAGCTGCAATGACAGCGTTGTTGTCTGGAAAATGTTGCCCACATAGTCCGTCTTTCATAGGCCCAAAGAGATGGAAGTCTGAAGGTGCTAAACCGGGGCTATAAGGTGGATGTGGTAGGACAGTCCAGCCAAACTTTGCAATGTGCGCGGTGGTCGCCAAACTGGTATGGGGCCTAGCGTTATCGTGTTGCAAGCGAAAGGTTGTCTGCTTCTCTGGCCTGACTTGGGAAATACGGGCTTTCAGCTTAGTCAGCGTCGTCTTGTAGCATTCAGAATTGACAGTCCCTGGTCGTTATCTGCTGATCTGTTCGGATGAGGCCCTGTTCATTGTGAGGAGTGGCAGCTGAGCAGGGACGCCCATGGCGTGGCTTGTAGTGCACTTCATTTTCGCCATTGTTGAAACGCACTACCCATCGAATCACTGTGCCGACATCCACTGTATTGTCTCTATACACCTTTAGCAAGTGTCGATGGATGTCAATGGGTACAATTTGTTCGGCAGTGAGAAATTCAATAACACATTTCTCTTTCATACGCACTTCTATGTCAGACACCATTTTGGTAGACTGCTCTGCTGTCGCTATCTGTCGCACGACAATAACAGTAGATTGGCGGGAAGGTTCAACCTTTACTACAACACCATCAACATCCATCTCAGACATTACATATTAACACAAAAAAATAGGAGGCATTATATATGGAATGCCCTTAGTAGTTTTGTCAAAGAAAGAACAGCAGAAATTGGAACTAACCTCATGCTTTATTCACTGTATTTATTGCCATTAACTTCTTATGATTTCTTCTAAAAGTAATAATTATAATTGGTATCATAAGTAGAGTATTAAACTAAGCATATTTTCACACCTTTTACTATTGTAAAATATTGTGGATTAAGTACATAGAAGCATATGGAAACTATTTTGAAGGGAAGTAAATAAATTCTAAAAGGCAGTACTTTTTCAGCCAGTATGCACTTGAATGCACACCATCAAACAATTGATGTGTACTGGAAAACTTTTCAAAACACTGCTAAAAGGCAAAAATAAATTTACTCCTGTGCTTAAGTAAGTAACACACTATTATGGCATGTAGATTCATTCATTTATTTATATTCCAAGCTGAAAACACTTGGCGAGTGTTGTGGTGATTTGTGTATTGGGGAGATTAGTGGTGGCTCTGTAATTGATTGTAGTTCTTAGTTGTGTGTATAAGTGGTCAATAAATCCAATATCCAATCCAAAAACACCATCAATAGGTGCCCCTAGTGAAGACTAGCTCCACCTATTCATTATCTCAGCACTAGATGGATGTAAGTGGTCAGCTTCACATTCAAGCTGCTTTACCCCCAGTACAAATGGGATTGGAAGCTGGATGCATCCCAGAACTGGTCGAGACACTATGGAGAAAGAGATCTCTCAACCCTAGTGGGAATAAGCACCCAATTCTTCAGCTGTTCAGCACATAGTCTAGTCACTATACTGAGATATTCCAGCTCCTAAATATTGTCACGTGTTGGGTGTATAACTTCATGCCATATTGGATCTAGCCAATTTATTGCACATTCGCTCTTACATTTACACAATTTACAGTTTCACAACTATTGCCATCTGTAGTATCACACTTACTTCTGCTTCCATTCACTCCGGCGGCTGCTAGACTGCAACTGACTTGTTACTTTGGTAATCCTCTCATTATGTAGCTTCCGCACTGAGAACACAGAAAAAAGTTACGTGATAGCTACTACTGTTGTGTAACGTCGTGTTTACAGGCGTTGCTGGGGAACACTGCCGAGAGTTGTTTATTGCTGCGTAGTAACCGTGGTGTCCCCTGTTACGTCACTGCAGGAGGCAACGGAGTGTTTACTGGCCTGTTACCATAGCAGTGGTAGTTGCTCCGATGCCGTTATGTCACCACTGGAAAAGGGGGGGGGTATCCTGCATAGCACAAATACATCACAATATATATTCATAAAGTTTACTTTATATCACCCTTTGTGTATTTGTTTATGAAACTGCTTCTTAAACTAACACGACAATCATATTTCAGCTTTCAGGAAGTTGATTGTATTCTTGCAGTAATGTTATATAAGAAACAAGCTTAATCAAAATTTTGTTGTTTAGGTTTGCTGATCATGGTGGCTCACCAGCAGAACACAGTAGGCCTACGGTTCAAAGTTCCGCTTGTCCCATTGATTCCAGCACTCAGCATCTTCTGTAATGTTGAGTTAATGGTTCACTTGCAAGCCCTTACATGGGTTCGCTTCATTGTCTGGATGGCATTAGGTACGTCAAAGAATGAACACCAATAAAAGCAACAAAATGTCATGGTTTCACTTACTATGGCCTACTTAAACATGTCTTATTGTCTTAGTGTAATATTACAAATAGTGTTAACATTATATATTATAGAAATATTTTATAGATAATAATTCAGACAACATGAGAAATAATTGATGGATTTTGTCTTCTGGAATATAACACAATTTAGTCCCTTGAAAGCCAACCAATGTTTCAGATGAAATGTCTTCTCTATCTCCAGTGCTGAAGAGTAACTTAAGCATGAAGACACCATGAAGTAGATGGCAAGATAAAACTTGTTTTTGGCCTGCTTCATGCTGGTTTGAACTGCCTTAATGGCTAGGGCTCAGGATGAGAGTGAACCCCTAACATTGGATCACATTTTAGTGTACATCACTGGGGGAGAAATTTACCCCTGAAAAATCCCACTAATGACATCCACTTACAGTGACTTAGCAGTCAGTTCCCATATCCAACAACTCTCACCATTTGCAATAACAGAAGCAAGGGTGAGGAATCACACTAGTGCCACTGCTACAATAGTATGGCATGCACCAAGTGTTCCCTGCTCCTAGCTTACATGTAATGTTGTATGAGCCAGGATCATGGCTCTTTGGTTGTACATTGCATTTAATTCTACAGAATTTACCAGCACTGAAAGGTGGCTCTTCAATCTGGCCTGTAGTCTCTCTAACCTGTTCTATCTCTATGTACTCACTGTATCACAGCTTCTGACTCTGTTACTTGGACTGCAGCAGAATGTTTAGCCACAGGTAATGGGACCCCATTACTGCAGATATGGATAGATGATTTGCTGTTTCACCAGGCACTTCTCCTTCACCTCTTGGCTTTTCTTCCATAGCACCTTCTGGGGGGCATTGCATTGTCCAGCATCATGGCCTGGGTGATAATGATGTCACCTGAAACCTCACACCTCCACTCCCCCATATGTCTTCGTGGCATAGTGCTCAACTAATTAAGCACAGAGACAGCTTTGGTTTACTTTACTTACCCAACTGTAGACTCTTAAAGGTCAGCCATTTTCTGGCTTACATGCCAATATAAATCATAGAACTGGGAAACATTACATTTTTTCCATGCTTTAAGAATACATTCCAGTGTGCACAAAAACTTCCTCCTCTACATACCAAATAAGCCAGATTTCTTGGTTTCACTCAGTTCCAAAATTTTCTAAATTTAAATTGCAGAGAGTTTTGGGTTATAATAATTGATTAATTTTTTCTTGGAAAATTCCAAACCAAGAGACAATATATTATTTTTTACATTTATAAGATCTGAGGTCTTCAAGGCAATAAATATACATATCATGCTCTTCTAGGTTATGACACTATTTACTCTGGTAGGTACATTTTATATCGGTACCCTGAATTTGGTTTAATTAATTTCTAACATTGTGGGTTTTAAATAAGCTCAAATTAAAATCCCCAAAGAAATGTCTCTCTATTAAATCTATTTTCACAGGAACCCATCATATAATATAGGGGCAAATTGCATGTAACCTCATTTCAATTATTATTAATAGGGAATAGCCTGAGATTATATAATGTCATATGAAATATAGTAGAATAATTGTAAGTGATAAATACTGAGGAATATGGGTGGAAGTGATCACAACCTATTTTAAGCTGCTATCTTGACACTCTCCTGGAGACCCTGAGGAAAATCATGAACACCATTTGGCAGCATAGCTTCTCCTTGGCTGGGGTTCAAATTGCATATCCTCCCAGTGCAAGCCCAATGGATTAGCACTGTATCAACCCGCTTGGTTTCTGTTATTACACGATAGACGCACATAAAAAGTGTACAAACTTTTCTTACTTCACTTTGTATAGTGACATTAATAAAGGTTATAATTTTGTTTATTTTGCAGGTTTGTTGGTATACTTTCTATATGGAATTCACCATAGCAAAGAAAGTGATCCAACAAGCTCCTATTCTATTTTAATGACGTCATCTGAAGCTGGAAAAGGAAAATGGGGGTCGATGCATAGTTCAGGCCCACTACCAATCCTGTCTCCATCTGAAGAAAAGACTGCAGCACCAACAAAGCCACCAAATGATATTTCTGTTGATGATAAAAGGCCAATCATTGATGAAGAGGAAGTTCCCCAGTAATCAAGTCTATGAGTGACTGAAAGAGAATATGTGGATACGTGATGACAGAGAAAAAAATAAGATCTTAATACTGGGGAGCAGTCATGGTAATGCAATTGGTCCCATGCTTCAAGAAAAACTGTTAACTAAATTTGATGTATGTGGTATTTTCAAACCAAATGTTTCTCTTGCAAAGGTTGTTAAAGATATAGGGAGCTTGGTAAAGGCCATAGAAAGCNTAGACTGAGTGAGGAGCCAGTGTGAGTAGGTGGCTGAAGACTGCAAGTGAGGAACCAGCATGAGCAGGTGGCTGCAGACTGTGAGTGAAGAGCCAGTGTGAGCAGGTGGCTGCAGACTGTGAGTGAGGAACCAGTGTGAGCAGGTTGCTGCAGACTGTGAGTGAGGAACCAGTGTGAGTAGGTGGCTGTAGACTGAGTGAGGAGCCAGTGTGAGTAGGTGGCTGAAGACTGCAAGTGAGGAACCAGCGTGAGCAGGTGGCTGCAGACTGTGAGTGAGGAACCAGTGTGAGTAGGTGGCTGTAGACTGAGTGAGGAGCCAGTGTGAGTAGGTGGCTGAAGACTGCAAGTGAGGAACCAGCATGAGCAGGTGGCTGCAGACTGTGAGTGAAGAGCCAGTGTGAGCAGGTGGCTGCAGACTGTGAGTGAGGAACCAGCATGAGCAGGTGGCTGCAGACTGAGTGAGGAGCCAGTGTGAGCAGGTGGCTGTAGACTGTGAGTGAGGAGCCAGTGTGAGCAGGTGGCTGCAGACTTCAAGTGAGGATCCAGTGAGCAGGTGGCTGCAGACTGCGAGTGAGGAACCAGCATGAGCAGGTGGCCTCAGACTGAGTGAGGAGCCAGTGTGAGCAGGTGGCTGCAGATTGTGAGCAAGGAACCAGCATGAGCAGGTGGCTGCAGACTGGATTTTTCTACCCTGAAGATGGAGGCAATACCTTCCTCCAAAATGTCGGTTCACACAGGATCTACACTACGCCATATCCCAGAAGAAGGTATTCTTCATAGTCACCACTGTGAAAACCTCAAATCTTATAAATAAATATATTCTACAGTGGATTTAACTACAGAATCTTATTTCACTATTAATTCTACACATATGTGTATGCAACAATTTCCATCACTGAAGATGCAGCACTGTGAAAACCTCAAATCTTACATATAAACACATTCTTCACTGAATTTAATTATAAAATCTTATTTGACTATTAATTCTATATGTATGCAACAATTTACATCAATAAAGATGCAGCATGTAGCAAATGAAGGAATGGCTATTCTTGAGTTAGAGGAATGGCTGTTCCACTACATTTCAATCAACACCACATGCCAGTATGATTCCCATGGGTAGTAGACTGTTTGCTGGGATACGAGCAAAGCAATTGAATTGTAAATTATGCAGTAGCTATGGCTGTACTATTAGCAGAAAATGTCATATCCTCTCTTGTAGCTCTGGGCTCAGGTCTCACCAAACTATCTGTAATGAATGTCAAAATGAAAAAAAAATTTGAATTTCTAAAATCCTCCAAGAGTAGCAAGCTTTTGATATTAACATATTGTCAATAACCTACAACCAGTCAGTGCTAACTATTTTCACGAGAAAGGACAGCTCAATAATTACACTGGCAAGCTATTGGCTGGAAGGGTAGCGGTCATCCTGCAGCATGGGACTGCTTTATGTAAAATTAATATATAAAATATGTTCGCAGCAAATGTAATTAGATTTAAGTGAACAGTAATACATATAACTCAAACAAAGCATTTAACTGAAAATATTTTAATTACAATATGTAAAATGCTTTACTTGTGTAATTATTAGTTGAGCACAAGGACAACTTTACCTTACACCTTGTTTTTTGTTACATTTATGTCATATAGACTATAACACTGTTTATAAGGGAGTATCATTATTTAAGACTGGCTTATATTATATGCATAATGTTTAGAAATCAATGGTGCTTGACATACTTGTATATAAATACTGAAACATACATGAAGGAAATATTTTCACAGTTGAGTTTCTAATCAGAAAGGGCCCATGGTGATGGTGGTATGTTTCTTTTTGAAGAGTATCAATTAGATTTATTCTTTTAAATTTGTAATAATTTCACTATATTCACATTAGTATACCCAAATTAATTCCCACTTTTACGTACATTTATTTTTTTTCTTTTGCGCTACAGCCCCAGTGTGGGCCTTGGCCTACCTCCATTAAACTGTCCGTTTCACTTCAGTTTACTAGAGCTTTGACATTCGGTAGGATTCCTAGGGCGGGCGATCAGCTCATTTCAAGGCCTCTACCTGTAAATAAACACAGAAAAACGCACACACACAAACACTAAACATCCATGCCCTGAGTGGGATTCGAACCCATGATTCCGGCTTCCAAGCTAGTGAAGATAGTGCATGCCTCAGACCGCTCAGCTACTGTGACCGGCTATGTATACTTATACAGAAAAATATAACACATTCTAATATATTTCAGGCAATTAGATTATACATATAACCTGATCACAATAATAAATTTTATAATTATACCTGGCCTATTAATATAACATGCAACAAAACATTATTTGGTCTTTCAAGAAACACATAAATTGTGCACATACACTTCAAATGTGATTTATTTCCCCTCCTTTAAATAACATTAACCCACTTAATACTTGTCCCCATTGTTTCTTGGGTATGAAACTTTCTCTCTTAAGGGAAAAGACAGATAGATTAGTTAAAAGCCGAGTGAAAGACTAATTTTCCATAAAGAGTCAACACTATCTAAAATTTGACTTTCTCAAGTAATGTAATGTTGCAGGATTGAAGACAAATTTAATAAAGTTATGAATAACAGTAATCATGGCACAATTACTACATAAAAGTTTGCTAAAAGGGAACCAAAGGGGATATTCTGATAAAAAATAATACACAAATGGAAAGCAAGTGCCTTTTAGTGACATTTTCTATTTTGATCAAACATGTGTCCATTCTGACCTGCTGTGGTATAGGAATTAATTTATTTCTGAAATACACAAGTTTTGTGAAGAATCTTTATGAATAAGCAGAGTATAAGAAAAAGTACTTGAACTTCCATTTTGGTTGCAATATTATGTTCTGAATGATTCTAATCAAGATTAATTACTGTTTCTGAGAACAACTGGAAATTATATCTCATTAAGATTGGTTGGTTTGTGAGTTATTTGTGCTTTTACCAATTTCATGTTCTTTTTGCCCTGTATAGTGCATAACTGTAATCCACAGTATATTTAAAAACTTTAACATTATTTAGTAGTAAATGAAATAATTAGATAATTATGTTGATGAACTCGAAAGGATAGAGGATGAGATGGCTGTGGCCTATTTCAAGGTATTACTCTGGAATATGTTTGGAAGACGTGATGAAAACCATGAAAAATATCATTTAGGATAGCCAGTGCTGTGACTGGAATTTAACCTTGGTACCTCTTGAACACAAATGAAATGCATTACTGCTAAGCTAACCTACCATATACAAGATTAAAACATTACAGGTAAAAGTATGTATTGAATTTATTTTTCTTCATGTAGATTGTGTATGAATGTTAAGATGCCTGTTGAGGCAGGAGAGACTGCTCCTGCCTAGATATATCTGTGTAATTTAGGAGCTGGCTTAAATAATAAGCAAAAGCAGAGCTATCTGTTGTAATGTTAAAGTGTCCTGCTTCACACAGACATTCACTGAAATCTGGATCAAATACAACTTGTTAACTGGTTATACAACATGAACAACTTACTATTAATAAATTATTAATACAGTAATTCTGTCCATGGTTGATATAAATCCACATACATCCTTAATAGGTAGCACTAAATGTGTCGATTACAAGCTGAAATTGTTAACTGAAATGCAACTGCCAACAGATCTGTAAAATTTATGTAATCATTATTTTATGATAGGATGAAGAAATACACTTCAGATGTGAAGCCAACCAAAACTGTATACATGATTGAAATACTGTATGAACTGTATTTACTTCTCTCAGTTTCAAAAGCCATAGTATGATTCATTTAAATATTTATTGTTGAAAATGAAACATATTTATGATATGAACTGTTCCTTGTTTTAATAAACCAGAGAGATGGCAAATAATACAATGAATGTGCAGTGTTTTCTTTTCTGAGGAACACTCTAGAAAATTTCTGCTCTATAATAACCATTAATAATCATAAATAAAACCATAATTACTGAATAAAGCAGTTAGTTATGGACTAGCATTCCATTGCAATAGCAAGGTTAACAACGGCCCCTTTATTTTTCTTGTTCATGTGCATTTGTTCTGGCAAGGTCTGTCAAAAAAACTGAAGTTCTGGAGAATAATATTCTTTGGTTTTAACCTCTGACTTTATACAACTGCATTATTATTATTTTTTAAGATTTTATGTATATGTATATACATGACAACCATCAAATACAATGTATTATGCAACATATACTGGATTTAACGTGTGATCCTCTAGGCCATCTTCAAGGCTCCTATTTTTAACATAAGTTATTAAGGTCTGTAAGTCCTGAAGCTTTCAAGGCTGTTAAAAAAGTGACAAAATCCTCTCATACTATCAGCCACATCCATTTGGAACAGAAGACTTCTGTTCTGAGTTGACAGAACTGATAGCCCAAAGATTTTTCACAGTATGAGGGTCTACAGTAATTCATCTTAATACGTAGGTCGTACTGAAAGTCATGAGCAACTTTTTTTGCATGCAACCTGGGAACAGCAGACGAAAGAGAGTATGGTGGTAGGTGGTACCAGCTGTTGTGTTAACCTTGAGTGTCTTGTGATGTCAATAGCTTGCATCATGTGACCAGTATCACTCCTAACAAAATGGCTGACAAAGATATGTCGTTTTGCCAGCGTGCTGTCATAGAATTTCTTGTGAAAGAAGAAATCCCTGCTGCACAAATTCACCAGAGACTTCAACGTGCTTATGGAAGTGTGTGCATGGGTGCGAGCAGTGTTCCAAGATGGGGGAAACATTTTAAAGATGGAACACCAGCATTAAAGATGAGCCTTGGAGCGGTCGTCCTCGAACATCCTCAAATGAACGCAACAAGGAATGATTGGATGAGATCATTCAAGATGACAGGCGTGTGACTGTGGACACAA